GGGGGGCAATTCCATCGCTAGTGTGTGATATATTCATGTGACTACCTTATTAATGGTACGACTACAGAACCAGCGGCAAGCGACTGGAGCAGCGGAGACGGAGAGGAATGTAATGAAGTTCAAGCCCACTCTCATCACATTTGTGAAGGGGCAGAACTTGGCAGAAAAGTGGGTGATGGAATTGTACCTGTACAGAAACGACTCTACGTCTCGACATTTTACTAAATACTAAAAAAACAAAAACATATTTAAAGGTGTTGTCGGAAGACTTTAATTCTAGATGCTTTTTTACCGTAACAATGGACGAATGTAACTTCTCAAATGCCTCTTTTATAATTAGAACTGAACCGTACTGTACCGTTATTGTCAAATAAAGTGTACATGTTAAAATTAAAAAAAAAATCCAATCAACTCAATGTGTTACATGTTGTATTTTTGGTGAATGAAATACAAAATTCTAAGCAATTGTCTTAATGACCGTGATCGATGAACTTAGCTGCGGGAACCGTAGCTTCTAGGCCCGATCTTTAAATATGTTTTTTTTTTATCTATGGTCCGATAACAATAAAAAAAAGACCGGGCCTAGAAGCTACGGTTCTGCAGCTACGATGAACTATGCTACGGAAAGTACGTCACCATTAAATTGCATATACATGAATATATATTCAAATATTGAAATTTACATTCCTACTAAAATGTTTGGGGTTTTTTTGTTTGCATTAATGTAAAAATAGTTTTGCATACCATCAAAAACTCGTAAATTTATTTTGCATTTTTAAAGATATTTTGCATGCTAAATAGATATATCCGCCTATGTCGAATTTTGCATGCAAAATTTTGTTCTGTTTTTTTGAGTGTATGGTAAAGTCAGTATAAATTTCCGTTCAAAGGGAGATAATGCATGCGATAGGTCTTACAGTTACTTCCCCTAGATTCACAACAAGCGATTCGATTGGTCAATTGAAACAGGAAGCGCCGACTTCAAAGTGTGATTTCACAAACAACAACCTATTTTGATCTGAACGCAAATTTTCAGCAGATAGCGAGACTGTCTACGCTCACAATTGGCTTCCAGAAAAGTCAATATACAGGTTTGTAGCATGTTATTTCCATAAAGTGAAAGGAATCCATCGATAATAGTTGATAAACCGCCCTAATTGTTATTATCTACTCACGACCCCTATGCCGTGCCACTCGTGGGATCATGCCAATGCTGGTGATGAAAACTGGAAAATTGCATTATATTGGAGGATTTAAATGATTATATTTCTAATAAATAACCCCTCTTTCCTCAAACGTTAGTTCGTAAGTTCTGCATGCATATGTTTCTGTTGTTGTTTTTTAGGGGGGGGGGGGTGAATTCAGTCTCAATGAAAATTTAAAGATAAGTGTGTTTTCCGACATACATGTGTGCAGTATATATTTCAATTTATAAACAATTGTTAGCTTATTTGTTTAAATGATGTAAAGAAAATGAATATACATTTGTATGTAGTATTATGCATTTTAAACTTTAAAGATAAATCATATAGGGGAACTATTTTGAAGAAATACTGTTGTTTTCTTGTTCAAATAAGGGAATTTAAACAGGTTTGGCACAACGGTGCATATATATTATCCTGCATTTGTGTAACAGTTACCCTGGCATTTGCAGTAACAATTTTATTACTTAGACAGGGAATAAAATAAATTAAAAACAAAGTTATTTTAAACACCAAAAAGGGTGTCATTCTTTCAACATAATCCCCCCCAAAAATACAATGAGGTACAATTGTGCACAAAAATAATAGTTAATTCAGTTGTCTAAATGTTTGTGAAAATGACAAATTGTATCACCTCCATTGCTTGTAGTGTTAAATTAAATAGCACACAGAAAAAAATCATGCTCACCTGTCTTATTTCCACAGGATGATCCCATTGCATTGACTACATACAGAAGTGTGTTTTGTCATTTTTACAAAATGTTAGACATCAGAATTGATAACTTTTTGTGAACAAATGTACTTCATTGTGTTACATATTGAATTTAGTTAAAGGAATAATGCCCTTTTTTTACTCCCAAGTGTATAAAAGAACTTTATGTGTTTTTATTTCACTTGATTCCACATCTCAGTAGCAAAAATGTTACTGCAAATGGGTAACTGTTACCCGAATGCGGGATAAATACCCGATGTGCCAAACCTGTTTAAAGCACATGAGGGAATTCTATAGAACAGAGTTTTTTTCTGAATGGGAAACTATAGCTACCCATCAACGGAAGTGTACAGTACTATACTACTAAACCTGCCCAAGTTTCCTCTGGCAATGACACTTATTTATGTTTTTATTGATTTCAAGTTCTGTGTTCAAATTTCAGGTGCAAGCACACATGTCAGTAAAGGTGGAAATATTTGACCTGTTGTAAAGTGAGCTCTTAAGTGAAAGACCATGGCTTCTATGACTTTTATGCCTTATGTCGACAAGGAGAATGCTGGATCGTTAGGAATTCACCCAGGCAAGGGGCAACAACGAGCATCATCTGGACTGGGAGGTTTGTTTTAAGACAAAATAATGTATAAATTTGTTATACATGTACCTAGTCCACTTGCATAACACATCGATCATTACTTGTGTGCCATTAACATTTTTTTTTGGACTAAATTTGAAAATTATGAAATGCTATTATAAAACATTTGTAAGATTATTTAAACAAAATGAGAAGTTTTGTCTACCTATCTAAATATATGTACACTATTTTTTGTGAAAGAGCCGACACCCCTGCAGTTCGGGGATCGCGAAAAGAATACACCTGCTGTTACTCACTGCATGTATCATCGGAGGCGACTCGTGAGGGAACCCCCTGCATAATTGGGGATTTGCTTTGGTTCATGATTAGGGGGCACAAAAGCGACCAAACTTAATCTTCTGCACCCATTGCAATATTTTGGATCTTTATCTTTCTTTCTACCTCTAACTACCTTTATTTCCTTGCGTCTTGCTTTGCAACACCTCACTTTTGGCCTTAATGTTGAGCATTCGCCCATATGAGGAAGGCTATGGGTTTCTGTCCCCAGGCCAGGACATGCCAAAGTCCTTAAAATTGTAGTTGTAGTGTTATCTCTGCTTAACGTTCACCATTTATGAAAATGGCAACAACTGGTTCACCTATTGTCAATATGATATGACTAGGCGGAATGCTGTGCTGGGTGCGTTTGGCATGGCATTTCAGTGAGATAGCACTATAAAGCCAGCATCAAATCTGCGCTATCTCAAGGAGGCAAGAACATCAACATACCCTGTCTCCTATGGAGACACGTCCTTAAATGACCTTTGCTGTTGATAAGACATTGAAAAAAAAAAAAAAAACAAATTGTGAAAGAGCATTTTTTGGTTTACCCACATCATTGCATTTTTTATCTATTCTGGGTTGATATCTTGAATGCCTGAACAGTTTTTTAAACGTAAAGTGTAAAGATGATAAGGAACATGCGGCCAAGTGAAATATTAATTCAGTTGAAATTTTTTAGTTTAAACCTTTTTACACTGACCAATCAGAACAGCATTTATTTTGAGAAAAAAACAATCATCAAAGATTTATGATTTGATGATGAAAATTGTGTGGCCTGACATAAATTGAAGCCCCAAATTATAAAAGAACATTCAATATATAAGTTTTGTCATTTCGGTAACATAACATTCTGCAGCCAAAGTACATGTACCAGACAATTTAAAAAACAATTTTTAGGTTTGAATGTTTTTAATTTTAATTGATATGTACAATTTACAGGTATCAAAAATGTTCTTCAGATCATCTGAGGAAAACCAATACATAAAATGTGTATGAACTATTTATATTTAACAGGTGGCAAAGTTTTCGGAAGTTCTGCACAAAAAAAGTTGGTGACACCCCGGAGAGCTCTAGGTGATGTCAGCAACCGTGGTCTGAGCTTAAACTCCAACTCACAGGGCCTCAAACAACAGAAGCCAGCTTTCAAACCACCATCATCACAACAGAAAAAGGGTTTGAAGCTTCAAGGAAACAAACAGAGTAATGTTTTACAGGTCAGAACATCATCATTGGAACATTTTTCTTCTGGGAATTTGTCGGCGCTATTAAAACAATTCCAAATGATATATTTTTTTGGTCAGTTTGCTTACAATTTGATACAAAAAATATCCAAACAATATCATATTTTTCTGTAAAGAACACAATTACTTTTGTGAAGCTTTGACCTACGTTATCCTCAGAAGATGAAACTTGCTCAGTATTGGCGACTGCTTAGTGTAGAAGACATGAAAATCTCAACCCAGGGAGATATTTACTGTCATAATCAAATCTTTAATTTTTCAAAACTTGGTTGGTTTAGATTTTCCTGTCATCATTAATCGTCTCGCTCTTACATGAAATATTTAGTTAAGTTCTTGTTCAAGATAATCGCCTTGCCAGAAAAAGTATTGTCAACTTATGAAAAAACTGGTAAAGATGTTAGACAGGGTTGTTGTGTTTCTCCAAGTTTATTTACTCTTATTTTACAGACAAAGACTGTGACCAAGGAGAAAGCCGTCCCCATCGAACCTCACTATGACGAGATTGAACACATGCATATTCCAAAGAAAATTGAAGGTAAAGTGTTGATATACTTCCCCTCACCAAGATAAACTGGTTGTGGGTATATAGGAATCTGTCTGCACATACTCGTCCATAATAGCATCACTTCTCTACAGATTTTGTTGCATTGTATATATATCTGATTGTCATGAACCTTCATAACGTTTACAAATATGACCTCTTGCCCAAGTTCACTTCTTGACAATTATGGGTCAAACCAAGGTCACTGTTGCTATGAATTTATTTAAATGAATATGATGATCGAACATTCCTTACGTAGAAAAAAGTGGAAGCGTTCTTGAGCGGATCCGTTGGTGGATTCGCCAGAGCTCCTGACTATAAAAAAAACAATGAAAATAAAGGATACTCAACACCATAAGACTGGTTTGTGATCTCTTCTTCATGTCTACGTGTTTAGGCCTGATATATACATGTGGCCATTATCAGAACAACAATTTGTAATTAGACGAGAAGTAAAGATTACAAACTGCTATTGTGGTGTTGAATATCCTTTATTTTTCATATAAATTATATATATATTTCTGTTGTCATTAATGCAGACTTCATTTCTCATCTGATTGTCATGAAGCTTTGCATGCATGTTCACAAACATCACCCCTTTCCTGAGTAAAGTTTTGATCTTGGGTTAAAAAAAAAGTTTATCTAACTAGAAATAGATTTTTTTGATGTCACTGCTTTAAACACTTCATTTCTTATAAAAAAATTGTCATGAAATCTAAATTACCAGTTTGTCACTGGCCAACCCTTCATGATCTTACCCTAGAGGCATGTTGAATCTCTGATATTTGTAACATGAATATTATATTGAACATAATTATAACTGCATGAACAGATGACGATTTTGAGGACATTTGGCCAAAGTCCGAGAGGATCAGCACATACATTTCACAGCTGATCAGCTGGCGCCCTCCATGTCCATTCAGCCATCTGCCAGAGTCAGGTGACGAAACTGATGAAGAGGAGGAACGAAAGAAACGAATGGAGGATTTATACAATGTCTTGGATAACATGCCAAAACCTCTACCCTCTGTCTGTGAGTAATTCATCCATGTCACTCTAACCAGCATCATATTTATATTTGGAAAATCCAGTGTCATTATGAAAATATCCCAGACAAAACATTATATACATAACAAATTTAACACAGCTAATGCAAACTCCAATAATATGTATAAAATCAGGAATTTTCTTTTTCAAATTGAGAAGACAAAAGTGTGATATATGAAGAATAATTCATATTATATTTTTAATGCCCAACATTGAATGGGCAGAGAAGAGTTCCTGTCCCGATTCAGTGTCATCCTTCCAAAATTCTTCATTTCTTCAGAGATTTTTAAGTCACCGGAGACAAAGTCTCAAGTGACCTATTGCGATCGCCTTTTGTCCGTCGTCGTGCATCCGTAAACAATTTACATTTTCGACTTCTTCTCCAAAACCTCTGAACCAATTTCAATGAAATTTTGCAGAAACCTTCCATGGCCAAAGGTCAACAAAAACAGTTGCCGGTTTGGTCCCCGGCCTCCAGGGGCCTGAGGGGCGGGGCCAAAAAGGGTCAAATTGACTAAAATTTCAAAATTCTTCTCAAGGCCCAGATATGGTAAAATCAAATACTCTTAATAGATGGAAGGGTCTTAAGGTGCTCTACCAAAATTGTGAATTTCATGACCCTTGGGTATCACGTTTCCCACTGGGGAGGGGGTAAACTTTACTATAGTTTATATAGGGAAATCTCATTTTGGACCAACATTTGTTTAATTTCCATTGGAAGTAATTAAATTTAGGTTAGCATTATCAGTATTGGGTAGCAGTTTGATGGTATGCACATATGAGCCCTGACTGACCCCCCGGGGCTGATGGGAGGGGCCAAAAAGGGTCGAATTGACTTAAATTTCAAAAAATTTCTTCTCAAGACCCAGATATGGTAGAATCAAACAGGTGCTCTACCAAAATTGTGAATTTTATGACCCTGGGGTCTCACGTGAACCCCTGGGGAGGGGGTAAACTTTTACTATAGTTTATATAGGGAAATCACATTTTGGACCAACATTTGTTTAATTTTCATTAGAAGTAATTCAATTTGGGTTAGCATTATCAGTATTGGATAGCAGTTTGATGGTATGCACATATAAGCCCTGACTGACCCCCCGGGGCTGATGGGTGGGGTCAAAAAGGGTTGAATTGACTGAAATTTAAAAAAAAATCTTCTCAAATACCCAGATATGGTAGAATGCAACACTCTTTATAGATGGAAGGGTCTTAAGGTTTATGACCCTTGGGTCTCATGTTTCTAACCCCCTGTGTAAGGAGGGGGGGACCCCCCGGGGCTGATGGGTGGGGTCCAAATGATACTTTGAATACATATTACATGTTAATAACTTGATTGGAATTATAACCCTGAGTTGACAGTTTGATACTTTGAAAATTTTGAGCCAGCCCTACCGCTAAGGGCTGTAGGGTGGGGCCCAAAGGAGTCAGTGTGCTAAAATTTCTTCATTTTCCTTGTTTAGAATCAGAGGTGCTAGTTTCAAATACTTTTTAGTCTTAAATCTGTATGCTAGATATTGAATAAGGTGGTTTTATTGTTTTTCTGTCACTGAATAATATTTCTGTTCGTGTTAAAAACAAAATCAACAGGTGACCGTTAATAAGGCCCATGGGCCTCTTGTTACTTAAACAGGGGTAGAATTAAAAAAAAGGTTACTGGCCCAAAGGTTCAGTTGAACTAACATTTCACTGGTCCTGTTTAAATGCACTCGTCCAGAAAACAAGGGCCTGAGCGAGCATCAAAGTAGTTCGGGGGGGGGGGGGGGGGGGGATAGTGAAATTTATGAGCTCTGTGGTGCATTCTGGGCTTAAAACAAAGCTTTTTAAATCTGCTGAAATTTTTGATCATTTACAACACATCTATAGCTACTGGCCTGGCAGGATAGCTTGTTGAAAAACCTTCTTGTCTGCCCGGAAAAACCAGCAGTTAATTCCGCCCCTGCTTAAACTTAATACATTGTTCAACTATGAGAACAGTTGGGATGAGTGTGTTATTCAGGGTTTCACCAGTAATTTCTCCAACATATGTTTTTGATAGGTGATTTACCAGACCTGGATGACGACAACATTTGGGTGCCTGAACCTGTGGAAGCTGTTTCATTCCCGTCTAGTGTGGACTTTTGTGAAATATCTTTACCTTTGGACGATTCCTTGGACATTCTTCCTTATGTTGGAGAGCTCAGATTACATGAGACACCTTGAGTTAGCATCAATTTGATGCGGTTGGTGTTGACTTTAAAACATTTGTTGTGAATCTCTAAGTCAAAGTTTCAGAAGCTAGATTTTTTTTTTTAATTCATCTCATTTAATTTACTGGAATTTGAATGTGAGTGCAAATTTCAAACCAGATTTCACAGATTATATCTCATTTCATCAAGATTCCATTGTCAGAACAAGGTGTTCTATACTACACAAAGTTAAAGTTTGATACTATATATACATAATCATAATGCAAATCATGTACTCCATGCCACAGCAGGACAGCTGCTCAAAATTGAAAGAACCCAAAGGACATACATGTACTCATGAATGTTTTACATAAGAAAATAATTTGATGTACTCTGACTAGCATTATGCATTAAACCCACATATCACTGCAGCACCTCTGTACACAGCAGTTATAAAAAGGTAACTATTACATTGGATTCATTAGCCAATGTTAATATTCTATAATACACTGAATGAAAATAGTTCTAATGTTCTAAAGTTAAAAAAAAAAAGTAAATCTCCCAAAATTGGGGATTATGCAGTTAGATGTAAGAAAAACACACCGAAAAACACACCGAAAACCAAAAGATTTGTAGTAGGTTGTGCAGAAAGTGTGATCTGAGTATACTACTGTCAGTAATGCTTTAAAAATGTTTACTGGGCTTCACAGAAACTTTAATACAAAAGCAGCTACCTATGTACCTTAATGTATTACAAGCTTAGTGTCAGTTACATTTCATTATACTACCTGGTAGGTGTTTACAACAATACTGAATTGTGTTTTCTGATATGGAAACTAGTCTGCATGAAATCCCACTTCACATCAGTAGTGTTGTATACTGTTTTCATTTTTATTTGAAAAAGTTTTTGACTAAAACTTTTCCCATGACTAAATACTGTTTGACAATTATTGATTGTTGAATTGTCAATGAATTTGAATGTACATGTATTTGAAACACTTCTTTCTGTGGAGCAAATTTCTAATAATGCTTTGCGATATCTGCACTATTTTGACCATTGAGAATACATCACATGTTTCAGTTTCCCAGTTTCTTTGATGCAAATTCAGAATTCCATAACAACAAGAAAAGAAATATCTCCAAGGTCAGTTTAAATCGGAATTTTAACACAAGAACATGAGAAAGGTTTAAACGGTGTGGAGTAAAATTGCAAATTTTTTAATAGAGACAAAAGTATAATTGTATAAATTGTGTTGTTTTTTTTCCAATTATTTTCTCTCTCTTTCTCTCTCTTTCTCTCTCTCTTTCGCTCTCTTTTATTCACTTTATTTATACAAAATATTATGAAAAATATAATATAAAAAAACTTTAAAAACAAAACTTTACCATTACATGTACCTGGTAAATAATTCTGTAAGCAGTCTTGAAATATTTACATCTATTTAATGTGATTTCAGTGCATTTTATTTTTATTTTTAAGCATTGTTATCCTGATTTTCATTTAAGGGATTGATAATGGATAAACAAATTAGGGGATGAATATACAATGTAGGATAAGCGGATTGAATTTTGATATGCTCTAAAATCCCATCTCCTTAGAGTAGACAGTTTTTCCAGTTGTAATGTGAATAGGACATATTTTTGTTGCATTCAGGCACTTATGATTTGAATTTTATATTTTCTGGTTAGCATGTTTAAAATTTTGTATATAGCACAGCTTTTATAGAAAGTTAAAAACTAAAACTTCAATGATTCTGGAAAGATATTCATAAGTGGAGTACAAATTAAATGTACTAACTGAAAATTGCAAGACTCTGTCTGTATAGGATAACCTATATTATAGGAACAAACAAAATAAGCTATTAAGATATATGTATATCAAAAAGTTCGTTACAAATGAAGAGGTAATAAAAAAAAACACGCCTTAAAATGGTCCTTTCATCTCTTCTGGGAATTTTTTTTAACGTCTTCTCATTCTGGACATGTAATTCGAAATGCCTTCAGTATCATAGGTATTGGATTAAACATGATGCAGTTAATTTTGTAATACTTATGTACCCTCGGTTGCTTTGGGCATTATTTACAGAGTTATATTTTTTCGAGTGAGAGAGGAAGAGGAAGTAGTCCGTGTGTAGTGAAATAGGTAGAATGTTATGCTGGCTTGTTTGTTTGTTTGAATACCAATCTGTTTGTGAAATTGTTCAACCTGTTATTTTAAATCAGTTGTGTGCATGTCATTTTGTTTTAGTACAGATATTATGTTTATTGTAGTCATATTTTTAAAAGATTTAAATCTGTAAATAAAACTATTGAAAACATTTAGATTGTGGATTACATTTTGTTTCATTTACAATCACGACATATACTAAATACCAGCACATAATAAATGTAGTTCACTTTGGGGTACAAAGGTCAATATCATTTTTCTGGCGTTACTAAGCTTTGATAAACCATTTCTGATAAAAGTAGACCTTCAGGACTTCAAAGAAAAATGATAGATGAAATGAACAAAAAACAATCAACAACAGTGTTTTGATTGTAAAATTATTATCAAATTTAATAGACCAGGATTTGGACCCTGAACCTCAAATTGTTATACTATTGTTATACTGTATAACACTATTGTTATACTGTATAATCCTATTGTTATACTATTGTTATACTGTATAATCCTATTGTTATACTGTATAACACTATTGTTATACTTTTGTTATACTGTATAACACTATTGTTATACTATTGTTATACTGTATAACACTATTGTTATAACCAACTGATCTAGCTAGTCAATGAAAGTGTCTTTGCCCAACTATGCTAGTTATATATATATCAAACAAAATTAGGGTGACATGATATATATGAAACTAGAGTGCAGTGGGACAGGGATCCTCAAACAATGTATTCTGGACTTGAGCTGCGAAATATTTTGACTGCACTTTAAAAAATCCTTTACCATGTAATGGCCTTGGGTTGAAAAATGTTGGGGTAAGTCCGTTCGTCACAGGTGTGTAGCACCTGGTATTCATCTGACAATGAATATCGTAAAGAGCACAGAAAAAAATTCTGTAATGAAGTAATAAAACTTTAATAAATAGAAACAGATTTTACAGGATGTAAACAAGCTAACAAAACAAAAAAGTATGTAAAGAAGAACTCCTTTTCAAACACTCTTGGTCATTTTTCAATACCAAAATATTTTTTAATGTTTTTTACTTTAATGTTTATAAACAAATCTGAAAAATAAATATTGTATTTTATAGCAGAACATGATATTTTCTTCAAGTTTACAAAAATGTATATCTGGAGATTGCTTTTGCTTTGGTTATTCTAGAGAATTTTTGTCAACACCTTAAGTGAGTGACCAGCAAAACAAATTCAACACAATATGATTGTGTGCTCAAATACACAAAATATCAATTTAGATTAGTGTATTCAAATTTTTTCATCCCGAAGAATATATCATTAATCATTACTAAATAGTTAAACTTATGATTCAACTAGGAAAGTTTCATCCTCTGGGTTGAAATGGACAAGAGAATGCTCAATCTGTAGATGGTCAATGAGTTGTGTGAGAGAGGGTTTAGGATCCTGAAGTTTGTTGTGTAGGACAATCAAAGCTTGTTGACTGGTCATCCGCCATTTACTGACCAACACACCCAGGCTGTCCAGGTCATTCTGTATTGAATGAAAAAAAATACATACTTTTTTTACAAGAATATTTTTTAAAGATAGCTGTATGTGATGGGTAATACAACAAGAGGCCCATTGGCCTTAACGGTCACCTAATATATTTATACAGAGAGTTGATTTTTGTTTTAACATGAACAGAAATATTATTCAAAGTAGCAATAAAACCACCTTATTCAATATCTAGCATGCAGATTTAAGACTGAAAAGTATTTGAAACTAGCACCTCTGATTCTAAACAAGGAAAATGAAGAAATTGTATTTTAGCACACAGACTCCATTGGGCCCCACCCTACAGCCCTTGGGGGAAGGGATGGCTCAAAATTTTCAAAGTATCAACTTAGGGTTATAATTCCAATCAAGTTATCAACATGTAATATTCAAAGTATCATTTGCCATTGTTTAATAAACCATAACAAATTTTGCCCCCCTCCTTCCCCAGGGGTAAATGTGAGACCCTAGGGTCATAAAATTCACAATTTTGGTAAAACACCTAAAAACCCTTCCATCTATGAAGAGTATTTGATTCTACCATATCTGGTCTTGAGAAGAAAGTTTTGAAATTTCAGTCAATTCAACCCTTTTTTGCCCCAACCATCAGCCCCGGGGGGTCAGTCAGGGCTGATATGTGCATACCATTAATCTGCTATCCAATACTGATAATGCTAACCCAAATTGAATTACTTCCAATGGCAATTAAACAAATGTTGGTCCAAAATGTGATTTCCCTATATAAACTATAGTAAAGTTTACCCCCTCCCCAGGGTCATGAAATTCACAATTTTGGTAGGGCACCTTAAGACCCTTTCATCTATGAAGAGTATTTGATTCTACCATATCTGCATCTTGAGAAGAAGATTTTTGAAATTTTGGCCATTTTTACCCTTTTTGGCCCCGCCCCTCAGGCCCCTGAGGGCTGGGGACCATATAATTCACAATTTTAGTTGAGCTTTGGCCATGGAAGGTTTCTGCAAAATTTCATTGAAATTGGTTCAGGGGTTTTGGAGAAAAAGTTGAAAATGTAAATTGTTTACGGATGGACGACGGACGCCGCCGGACAAAAGGCGATCGCATAGGTCACTTGAGACTTTGTCTCAGGTGACCTAAAAATATACATAAACATATAAAAAACAAGCTGAAGCCATTGGATACTTTTAGATAACACATAAGTAAATAAAGTCAGCCAAATTTATTGTGCCTACAAAATTTTACTTTTTAGAAACCATTTAGTTACTGTTTTACGGGGTAAAACCTGATGGTCTGGGTTTTTCAGGTTGGAACAATACCAAAAATATGGACAGCAACCTCATAATTTTATTAATTAACAAGTCATTCGGGTGACCTATTGCGATCACTTTTCCATAAACAGTCACATTTTCAACTCAGAAACTGGCAGTCATATGTTGATGAAACTTAGTGGGAACATCAGCCTGAGGTGCAGATCAGAAACTATACTCAAGATTGGACTGACACCCCCAGGGATCTGAGGGGATGGGGCTAAAAGGTCACTTAGACTAGTGCAAAAACCTACAGAAGACTTCCTAGATGGGAAACTCATATGTGGATTTTCACCAAGTTTTCATAAAATAATGCTCAGATGTTCAGGATCAGAATGTATACCCAAGAAGGGGCTGACCCCAAGGTTGGCTCATATGGGGTCGCTTAGTTCAAAACCAGAAACAATCGCTAACAATTACATTTTTGACTTCTCTGGTTCCAGCATGCAGACTTCAATAAAATTTGGTGATATAAAACCATCAGAATAAATATAAGGTGGGGGATTAAAATGTATACTTCAGATGGAGGCTGACCCACCAGGAACATGGCCATAAGGGGTGATGAACTTAAACTCAAGAAGGAGCTGACACCCCATGGGAGATAACTAGGGGTCACTTGGTGCAAAAAATGGAAACAATCATAGTTTTTTACATCTCTTCAAAAAGTCTCTTTTTAATTTCAATAAAACATAACCACAAGGTGGCATACCATATACATCAGTGACAAATTGACATTATGTGTCATTATTCATCATTGACTGATACTTAATTATGTTTCAACATTATTTCAATGATTAAAAAATTACAGCGTGAACTAGCATTTAATTTGCAGAAATCTAATATGTGACCCCATGTCGTGACCTTGACCTTGAGGTTACAGACCTGTGCAATATGAAACACATTTTCTTGTCCAAATACAAATCTCTGAAGATTCACAACACAATACGAAATCATAAGTTACAGCAGTCGACAAACATTTTAGTAATTTGACAGATTTCATCGTCCAGACAAATGGACAAATTTAAAGTTGCCACTGTACAATAGTAACATGTATATATCTACCTTGTTTGCTATAAGAAAAAATGCCAACCTGGGTGTCATAAACTTGATTTTAAGGTCTTTTGGCTCAGATTAACACTATACTTGTGTCGCGATTGATGAAAGATAATCCAATTACCAATAGTTTCAAGCTTAAATTCTCACCTTAGTTCTGTACATTTTGACCATGTTTAATTTCCGCAGTTCTTCTTCCTTCTCTGTCAATGTATTTTTCAGTCTATCATATTTTTCCTGAAGCATTTCTGTATCATCAGTAGAAATAGACTTGGCTCTACTATTTGTCTCTTTTGCAGATGTGATTTGGAATCCAACTTGCTCTGTCGGTTTACAAGCAGCTGAAGAACCCTCGGTATCATTGTCTATATAACTGCTATCAGACATACCAGAGAAATGTAACCTGCTTGGTTTACATGATGACACATTTCTAGACCGGATAGGCGTCCTTTCATATCTTTGTTCAGATATTATTTTATGTCCGCTTACATCTTTTGTGATGTTTTTCTGTACAAGATGTGTTGTATCCGGTGTTAACGAACAGAGTTCTACTTGCCTGACTCCCTGCGATTGTCTTTTATTATAGCTGTTGATCCCATCAGATGCAATTGGGCTAGCTATTATAGAAATTGTTCTACTTATCTCATTACTTGTTGTGTCTCTAGTCTCTGGTGACAAGCTTGAATCTACAGTAGGTGTTTTAAGAGCATGTTTTCTATAGGTTGCTTTGGAAATATTCACCATGTTTGAACATTCAGATGGAGATGTAAATGCGCTGATGTTTTCGCTTTTTGCAGAGGTTGTAGAATCAATTTTCAATTTTTCTGACCTCAGTGGTGTAGAACTTGGGCCATAACTTGTTCCCATTGCCTCATCAGTAAACCCTGCAGCCAACCTTACTGGAGATAAAAGATTGTCTTGACGATTGTCTCCCTTTGCGTTGGTTTCTGTTGATACAGGTGTTTGTGGTAAGGTGCTATCTGGGTAATAGATGCGTTTCTTTGTCGGAGGACCAATGGGAGAAGAATGGTAACGCCCACATCTCTTTAGCCTCTCTTTCAGACTGGAACTTAGCTTCTGTGAATAAAAAAGAATAACTGGTTTATTGTTGCATAGCACATACATCATGCAGACATAAGTTTGCTATATATAGACAAAAGACCTAGATGCATTACATATTGATATTAAATGATATATTGCTAGTATACCGTATAATACGTCTCTGCTATAGATGATTGATAATGTTTCATGAGAATATCAACACATAAATGACTTCTTTATATATTAGCAGGAATTTGCTAAAAGTCATATTCATACTGAGCTAAATTAACGTGTTTTAACGTAAAAATATTTATTTAAATTATAATTTATTAATTTCTTATATTTACAGTTTGAAAATGATAATTAAAATCTTTTCTCAGCTTGAACTGACTATTGGGTAAATATTTTTCCATTACATTTAACTTTGTAGGATAGTATATAAGCCCGAGTTTCCTGTGGCCGTAACACCAGACTTGGACATATAGATGTCTAGCTGCTAGTGTTAGGGCCAGAGGAAACTCGGGCTAGATTACTTCATGTATTACAATTGTTATTGATTTATATTATTTGTCTCTATAATAACACCTTTGTTAATGTTTGACTTCGGTCAGAAAAATGAACTATACCAGTAGACTACAGGGGTTTTAACCCCTGTTAATAGACTGTACATATATATATATGTGAACTGGATTGCCAACTGCTGAACTAGACAAACTTCACAACTGCTTTAGACGTGAAACAATAAACAAAAACAACTATCGATACTATTTCTTTAATGTTATGTAACTGCTGAAGTATGGACAGACACGGGGAACTGTCAAATACATAGACCCAGAAGAAGCAGAATCGTATGTTGCAGTGCCCAGATTGCCCCAACCACAGGTCCCCATTTTTGCCGAAAATGATAAAAATTAAACAAAAGTGCCGAACTGACGACCGAAAAGATGAGAACGCTTGTACTTCTACTTCGAACGAAAAAGTCATACAAATAAAGTAGACGCTTTGAGAAATGCAGACTTATCCGTCAAAACGGGTGATGTTGACCAAACACAATGATGTTGTTTACTGTTATGTGCATCGCATACTGGCACTTAATTACCTAGTTCCAGACCAACCATACATACTTGGGTGCACTTCTACCAACCTTTTGTGCCGAGCTAGCACATGAAGACATTCTATTCCGTTTTCACAACTTTTTCTCCTCCGACATCATTTTGTATTCCCCGCTAATATGGTCAGCGTAGTTTGAACGCTTGTGTTATAATCCCATCCAAAGAATGCGTTTTGGTGATCGAATAATTCGAAACTACTATTCAGGACGAAACCGGACTGTAAAAGTTACACAACAAACAGGTTTGTAAGATATTTCCCATGAAGGAATCCAAGTTATTCTTTAACTTTGTTGCGTATCTTGTATACAAGATTCCTACATCAGTCATTTCAAATACTGCTAATACAGTCGTCAGCAACAGATGAAGCGTATACAGACTAGGGTCTACAGAACCCATTTTCGTTGTAGCTGGCACAGGGGCATGGATGGCTTTACTTGTAATATTTAAAAAAAAGGGTCTCCTATACTAATATGTATATATTAGTATAGGAGACCCTTTTTTTAATATTACAAGTAAAGCGATCCATGCCCCTGTGGTAGCTGGCATTTTATATTGATCTGGTAAGACCCCCAACCCCTCCAAAAAGAGAAGAAAACATGTATGTTACAGGTAACATGAATGACAAAAAAATAGGGTAGATAGTCCGCATTTTTTAAAAACTTTTTTTATGGTTTGGGGCTTATTTGAGAAATTACATAAATCACCAAGCATACATTTTTTAGTTCATTAAAATAATAATATTGGATTGTTAAGATCGGAGTAGCCCGAGTTTCCTCTGGCCCTGACACGTACCAGACTTTAAAGACATTTTGACAGATAGATGTCTGGTTAATCATATACATCTCTTTGAAATCGAGTGCCTCTTATTTAAATACAAATGTTTAATTATATTTCAAATATAAATTTATGTAATTATACAAGAAATAGACTATCCCCAATATTTTGTGAAAGTGTAACATGCGGGCGATCACCAATCCAACTACTGACCATGCTCCACGTTGCTGAACTAGTGAGAGGGTCCTTGGGTTATACTGAAGCAAAAAGCTTACCCGGGGACCCACTCACTAGGTTATTAACGCTGAGCATGATCAGTTGTTGGATGGGTTACCACCTGCACGTTACATTTGGTGGCAGCGGTGGGATTCTGTGTGATCATGTAAGGCCAGTTCCCGGTGGTTAGGGAATGTGCATTGATACACAGGGAGCACTTGCGGGATTCCCCAGACCAAGTCTCTGGACGAGACTTCTCGGAGGGGGGGAATATTGTAAAAGCTTACATATATAAGGGGTAAAAATACTGCCTTACTGGCAAGTTAGCTTTTCCAGTGATGCCCTATATTACCCAAGGACCTGCTCACTAGTTCAGCAACATCTAGCGTGGTCAGTAGTTGGATGGGTGATCACTGTTACAAAAGCTAGGCCACATTGAGTGGACAGTCTCTGGACTTTAGCATCAGGTTAATACTTTTAATGAGTAATGAATTGTATAAAGATGCATTACAAATGGAAATACATGTCAATATTACTTGAAAATACAGAAAAACAGCAGGAACCTTTCTGTGATATTGACCATACACAATGTACCTCCATTGTTTCAGATTTGCAGCTGAGATTCAGATATTTATGTGATCTTTTGTAAAAGCAAGATTGCATGTTTGCCTGGAAGTATGGCTCCGGTTGTATCTCTTGTCCAGGGAGCTAGTCGAGGAATAGGGCTTCAGTTTTGTAAGACCATACTTCAGCGTCACCCAAGCAGTGTTGTCATAGCAACATGTCGTCAACCAAACAATTCCTCAGGACTTCAGGAACTGAAAGCCCAGAATCCAGACAGATTAGATCTGTGTGTGCTAGATGTCACCAAAGATGAACAAATCGAAAATGTGGCAAAGTTCACCAAAGAAAAATATGGAATGTTAGACTTGCTCATCAACAATGCTGGGATGCTTCATACTTCTGGTAAAGGGGAAACAAGTTTAAGGGACGTCTCCCGGAAGGTAATTATATATTCCACCACAGATATCGATACTACCATTGGTTTAATTTGCGCTTCGTCAGTCCTCACACAGTCAGAATGTATCCCTCTGTATAGGACATTATCTTATTATCAGATCTAGAGTGAGTGGCTATTTAGACATGTTGTCAAGTCTGAATAAATATGATAAACTGAATTGTGTTGAAAGTAATATATTATGAATATCGTGTACTGTAATGCCCCTTATGAATTATTTGGAAAATTCCTAAATAAATGGCTTTCATATGGTTTTTTACGTCTGTACATGTAGAAATAAAACTAACTTCATTGATCCTTTTTTTTGTAGAAAGTAGAAATAAAACTAACTTCATTGATCCTTTTTGTTGTAGAAATTTAATATTTAAAAAAAACCACGTCAGCTACCCGGAGACAAGTAAAAAAAATATATGTATAAATCATAGTAGTAACATCACAATCATGATCAGTGTTCTCATTAACTTGGAACCAGCTATTTTTTCACAATGTGTATAGGTCAACTTATAGCATGTGAACAACATTCAACCACCTGTTTCAAAAGTTAGTTTGATAAATTTTGTACTGAAGCAGAATTGTATCTACTTGAAATGCCTTGAAACAGACTGTATCACAAATTTCTGAGTTAACAAAATCATCTGTAGCTATAGTAAATCCTGCAGGTACTATATATATATTGATATTGTACAATGTTATTTTAAAATAAAAATTGCTTTTAATCCCTAGAGAAATTGTTTTCATAACAGTACATGTAAAGTAATTATTATATTCAGGGTCTCCTGGAAACCTTTGATGCAAATACCGTTGGGCCACTATTGATGGCAAAAAGTTTTGGCCCACTCCTCAAATCTGGGACAGGTTATTTTGGAATGAAGTCAGCCGATTCTAAGAAGCAGCACGCCTCAATTCTAGTCAACATGTCTGCCAAAGTTGGATCCATCACTGACAATCGTAAGTAATTCCACAAAGTTAGAATGTTGGATAACAGACACGACTTATATGTTACATTCATTCGGTCAACAAGAATCCTTTACCATATTCATGAAACTGTTCTCATGCTCAAGTATGGATTCTGTGCTCAAACCGGCCCCAGCTTTCTTGTAAACCCCTTAAATCATGTCAAACAATCAAAAGGTCAAATGTAAACATTGAAAACAGTATTCAGCTTTATTAAAAGTATCTTCAATTTTTTTTCCAAATCATTGACAAAATAGAGTTTTTATTAATTTATAACCGAAACAAGAAAATTAAAAAAACAATGCTTGAGCATGAGGACTGTTTAATGAATACGGGCCAAGGATTTGTTTTTTAGCCTGCTACAGGAAAGCTGCAAGAAACCTATCGTATGAGGCGACTAATTTGAGATGCCCTGGAAAATCTGAGGCTTTCTTCTGTTTACTTTGATTAGGGGAGATATCAGAGAGATCACAATCTGATTATAACTTATCATCAGGTTTTTGTTTCAATTATTTCCAGTCACATGATGAGTATCATGTGTCAACAATTTTTAGCCACAGGTTGTACATGACTTGATGTATTAAATATCCAGAAAGTCATAATTTCTGCTTACATTTTATTAGCTCACCTGGCCCGAAGGGCCAAGTGAGCTTATGGCATGGTGTGGCGTCTGTCCGGCGTCCGTCCGGCGTCAACTTTTTACTTTAAACAACTTCTTCTGAATAACCAAGAGGCCTACGATGATATTTGGCCAGTAGCATACTTGGATGAAGGGCCACCAAGTTTGTTCAAATAAATGACCTTGCCTTATATTCAAGGTCACAGGGGTCAAATATGTTAAAATCTTTTAAACAACTTCTTCTGAATAACCGAGAGGCCTAGGGTGATGATATTTGTTCAGTAACATGCTGGGATGAAGGGCTACCAAGTTTGTTGAAATAAATGACCTTGACTTATATTCAAGATTACAGGGGTCAAATATGTTAAAAACATTTAAACAATTTCTTCTGAATAACCAAGAGGCCTAGGGTGATGATAGTTGGCCAGTAACATGCTGGGATGAATGGCTAACAAGTTTGTTCAAATAAATGACCTTGACCCACTTTCAAGGTCACATGGGTCAAATATGTTAAAACCTTTAAACAACTTTTTCTGAATAACCGGATTAACCGAGAGGCCTAGGGTGATGATAGTTGGGCAGTAATATGCTGGGATGAAGGGCTACAAAGTTTGTTCAAATAAATGAACTTGACCCACTTTCAAGGTCACAGGGGTCAAATATGTTAAAACCTTTAAACAACTTCTTCTGAATAACAATTGGCCTAGGGTGATGATATTTGGCTAGTAGCATGCTGGGATGAAGGGCTATAAAGTTTGTTTATATGAATGACCTTCATCTTTTTTCAAGGTCACAGGGTCAAATATGTTCTAAACCTTTAAACAACTTCTTCTGAATAACCAAGAGGCCTAGGATAATGCCAGTAACATGCTGGGATGAAGGACTACCAAGTGAATGACCTTCGCCCATCTTCAAGGTCACAGTGGTCAATATATGTTTAAATGTTTAAGTGATTTGTTCTGTATAACCAAAAGGTCCAGTGTAAATATATTTTTCCAGAAGCATGCTGGGTTGGAAGACTATAAACTCTGTTCAACCTAATATCATAATGTCCTTGTTCGACATTCAAGGTCACAGGTGTCATATGTTTAAATCTTTTAATAGTTTGTTATGAATGAAACACTGATATTTTGCCTGTGGCTGTATTTTAGTCCACTTTTAAGATTACAAGTGTGAGATTAATACCAGGTGAGCGATGCAGGCCCATTGGGCCTCTTGTTTTAACAATTAAATAAGAATGGACTTGGATGATTTGAAGTACTTTTCGACACTTCAGATAAGTTCTGGTTAAAGTGCTGATTAAGTATTAATTTAAATCAGAATTTCAACACAATTATTTTTCAAAACTTTTCAGAGCTTGGTGGATGGTACAGTTATCGCTTGTCCAAAGCGGCCCTGAACATGTGCAGTAAGAACCTCAGTCTAGAACTAGGTCGTGGCAGTAAACCTGTGTTATGTGTTTCGTTACATCCTGGGACTGTTGACACGGATCTGTCACGACCTTACCACAAAAACGTGCCGAAACTGTTCACCACAGAGTACAGCGTCGACTGTCTGCTGGACGTTGTGGAAAGTCTAACAATTTCAGACACTGGAAAGTTTTTCCTCTATGATAGAACTGTCTTTCCTTTTTAGGTTGAAAATATTGCCTAATCCGATACCCTGTCGAACACAATATAAAAGTCAATGAATTAGGCAGGATACCAGAATACACAGGTCTTTCATTTGGTAGTGCTCAATAGACATTACAGAATTATGTTGGATTACACATGGTGTTGTTATACTCAGGGGTCAGATTAGACAGATGTCAGTGTGTAAAAGTAAAATTTAATTATGCGGGCATGGTTAATCCTGTGTGGTAGAAGTGTGTTATTAGACTAGTAATAAAGCACTTGTTGGGTTAATTACTGTTAAGCATGAATGTGTTATTTATGTATTTATTCCGTAGTGATATTTGGTGATTTTGGTGCATTGATTTCATTATGGAAAATAAATTGTAAATTGAAATATTTTTTGCTTAGATTTTTATACAATATATATTGGAATGGTCATTATTTAGTGTACCTTTCATACATAACATCAAGATATATGTACTATGATAAACCAGCAATAACTATTACTGCCAACTGAAGGACTCGCATGTACAGTGGTCAATATTGAGATGATGGAAGGAATGGAACTAAGGCCAATTATAAACTGTTCATCTTGATCTTTCTATCAAAATTTTAACTCACCTGGAACAAAGGACAAGCTAGGCGAATGCTGTAGCCAATCGTCTGTCATCCATCAGTCAACTTCTCAGTTAAAATGCTACTTTTCCAGAACAGCAGAGTGAATGTTGAGTACTTTATTCTGGAGCATTGTAGAGCCAAGGGGGACTCAATGTTGTATTAACAAAGAATGTGCCTCCCTCTGACTGGCTTTGGCATTTGTTACTTTTTCTGAAGAACTACTGAAGCAACAAGGCAATCCATAGTCCCCCACCGGTAGTGATTTCTATATTCAACAAACAGTACACTTATGTCAGGATGTACCTACTGTTAGGAAAGTATCCCAATACCTAATGCAACATTAAAGGCATATCGTTGTAATGGTAAAATTAATTTTTGCCAACAAAAGAAATTTGCAGTATGGTTGTATAAAGAATCAAGAGCGATACATTCTGATGGCTTAGTTTGGGAAATGAAAAAGAAAAAGTGAAGAAAATTGTTTTAAATCAATGATATTTCCACCAAATCTGGTTACAGCCGGTGAAATAGTATAAAAGATATGCCCAGACAAACTTTTCAAAAGGTAAGGTCAAAGGTCAAAGCATAGGTCACAGTGAGGTCATAGTGACCTACTTCTTGCACTCCGCCATCCCAAGATGTCCTTGTACACCAAATCTGATTATCCCAGGTGAAATAGTTTAGAAGATATGCCCCAGACTAATTTTTGAAAAGTCAAAGGTCAAGTCATATGTCACAGCGACCTTCTTGTGCTCTGCACTACGTCATCCCAAAATGTCCTTGTACACCAAAGCTGCTTACTCCGGGTGAAAAAGTATAGAAAATATGCACAGGACAAACCTTTTCAAAAGTGAAGGTCAAAGGTTAAGTCATAGATCACAGTGACCTAATTATTGCACTTTGCACTCCGCCATCCCAAGATGTCCTTGTACACCAATCTGATTATTCCAGGTGAAATAGAATAGTATCTGCCCCAGACAAACCTTTTCAAAAGTTAGGGCCAAAGGTCAAAGAATAGGTCACAGTGAGCTTCTTATTGCACTCTGCAATCCCAAGATGTCCTTGTACACCAAATCTGGTTACTCCAGGTGAAATAGTATAGATCATATGTCCAAGACAAACTTCTGGGAAGGATGGACGGAGTGCAAACTGGAATCTGTGGGGGACTAATTAACTTTAAGTTGATACAAGTATTCCTCAAGAGATCCTGACCAAGTGTTATATTAGCGGTACATTTTGTGCCTATGTATAAATCCAAGATGACTGCCCTTATGAAGCTTAGTCTTTGTATATTGTGCATGCTTATCATGTTTTATCAAAACTGAATGATAGCAACGCAAGTTATAATAATCTAGCAGAAATCAAAGTATGGACAGAACAGCTGACGGGCATTCCTCAATTCATCTCCTGTCAAAAGTTTGAGAGTCGTACAATGTATAAAAATACAAAATCGTATAATTCTTTTACCTTTTTTATTCAAACAAAGCTGTCAGCATTCAACAGCTCATGAGCAATGCAATAGATATTTATAATGACATTATACTATGAGTAATATGCAGTCCAACACCATGGAGTAACAATAATAAAGACTAAGTACTGTTTGTACTCAAAACCTACGAATTTGTAAACAAATGAAAATAGAAATGATGAGCAACAACGCCACTGAATCCAGTACAAAATGTATTTGGGCCAAAGGGAGGCCGTCTTCAGAGCACAGTTACATGATGTTTGCAACTGATGTGTAAACAAATGAAGGTATCTTTGATGCATGAGTTTTCAAAGACTCTTGACATATTTTTCTCTTGCTAAAAATTGAGTTCTGATTTATTTATAATGAGGTTTATAGATTATAGACCTATAAGAATGTTAAGAAACTCTCGCAGAATGTCGCAATTGCTAGATGTTTTTTGGAAATAGACAAAAGGTGCTTACATGTCACAACTGATTATACATTTTCATATCAAAATGAATCGTGCCACAAGGATTGGACAAGACTCTGCTTATTTGATTTACATAATTTCTTGTCACATAGTTTGATAATCGATGAGACTTTCTCTTTTAAAAAAATACAGGTTTTGGTCACGAGTTCCAGTACATGTATACAGTTTGTCATGGAATGTTACTGAAGTACACATAAATCACATTTTAAATGGTACCAAGATGTTTCATACTTAAAAATAAACAATATACTTGATTACTAATCCTGGTCATCTTAATTCAACATATTAGAGAAAGAAAAAGTATAATTTTAGTAGAAAACCTTTAATAAAGACAACTTTAGGAACAAAAAATGAAAATCATCCGAGTGTTGAGGAACATGATCAATATATCCAAAATTGGTAAATCTCCAATAAGAATTGCCCACAAAATTCAATCTGAAAAAGGAATGTACAGTAAAAAAAATTTATATTGCCACCATTTGTCAAAAGAAATATTGGCATTATAAAGAGGTTTGGCAATAAATTGAAGGAAATGTACACAGAGAAAGAAAAAAAACATACACTGAAAAAGAGATAAACGAACGTTGAAATATGTTGGCAGCAAGCCAGATCGCCATATGCAGCAAGAGGGGAAATATATCCACGTTTAACTTTAATAAGGAGAAAGTTTTCAATTATGCATGTACAGTATTTCAAACTAAATGTAATTTTTCGAAGAGAAACCAAAAACACTTGGTAGATTGTCCCAATGTCTTAAAACCCAATTCATAGAATGAGAGAAGATTCATCTACAAATATTTGATGGAGCAGAGCAGCAGAAATGGAATGTGTGTTCAATATTTAATACAAAAAACTTGTATCACTACATGATTTGTAATTGTCTTATGCAATAGCAGCGTTGCTTTCAAGGGTTTGATTTTTTGTTTAAAACAGGTCGATAACAATGATTGAAAATTAAAAAGTAATGTTTCAAATATTAATTACAAGGCTGAAGCAGTGTTTATGTAAATTAAGGGTATATGTTACCTTCTAGTTGTGATTGTGTTAGATTTATCTCCCTTCACTTATAATTACCATTATCTAATGATTCAGTCTTACATTGGTATAACCATTGTCAACTTTGTCATTAATTCATTAAACCTGTCCAATTCACCATCTATAAAAGATGCTTCAATTTAAAAAACAATTTTAAAGGTTTTCTGAAATACGGAGCTCTTTTGAAATAGAGGTAGCGTGTAAAGAATAAGATAGTATATATCCTTAAAGCAGTAAAATAATGAAGCTATGAGGAATATTCAAATACATTGTGTTGCATACAAATGTATATATATATACACACATAGCGTAAATACTTTGAGTACATTTAAATTGCCGATACAGGGCAATTGATTTTGACAATATAGGTACATGTATATGAAAAGTTCTGGTAAAAACTTTGAGGTGTTGATGGGTTAAAATGTTGTGCTAATTATTGATATATTTATTATTATTACCGATTATATTCCTTATGTACATGTTTATATACGAATACTTTTACTAGTTAAGATTTTCATCAGCATTTTCTTGGGAAAAAATAAGGGCTGCCATTGATAAAATAACTTTTATTCTGTATCAACTGAAATATCTGGGACACAATTATATTGATTATCAAGGGATATAATGTACTAAAAAATATCAATATGTTGCACAACCATCACAATATTTGGTTATCTATTGTGAACAATAAGTTCATAGTAAATGATTAAACGCTATAAATATCACAAGATGTTTTGTTTTTAACATGTACTGGTTAAATGGCTAATGATCTAGAAATTTATCTTAAAAAATGTCAGCGGGTATCAATAGTTGAAAATTTGAAGAAGAATATGTGTATGATCAAAACTTGTATATTGGTGGTACACTGATCCCATGGCGAGGTAGATATGTAGTGATGAATGCTGTGGCAGGTTATGAGACAATGAACTAAAACACAGGGTATGATAAAGCTGTTTTAATAGGATGCACTTAATAGCAATGAAATATACAAAGAAAAACCAGGAAAAAGCAGAAAAATAACATCAATTTAAATATAATATATTTCTCAATTTATTAAAAGTAATTTTAAAATAATATATTTTTCATTGTACTGTACATGTATGTGCATTATCATTGTCTCAGCTTGAAAGTATATAGTGTCTGTGACGCAGAGCATGATAGGGAATGATTTAAAGTATTTATCCAACAACCTAATTATTTTTATCAAAAACAAACAGGCTACTTATATTAATGGGCGATTTTAGAAACTCCAAACTCCATAAGTTTTGACACGAGTTTGTGATATTTGCAGTTTTTATTGAAATTTGTCATGTTCAAACTTCTTCAAAATTACAGAGACCAATTTTAAAATATCCTTCTTTCTTACAAAGGCCCTCAACCTATAATTGCTTCTGTATGACTAGAGATTTTAACAAATTCAAGAAGGAAATCACTTTTCAAGGCTGCATGAAGCAGAGCTAGATTGCATTGTTAATCTCGCTTAAAAAGAAAGAACGAAGTGAAATGTTGTGCCAGAAGATTTGATTCAGATGGTCCAATAAAAACATGCTTTGTTAGCATTTCACCATCAAAGCTCATTTATACAGGTAAAAGTGAAATAACTATGTTCACATACATAGCAAAACAAATACATTTATATTCTCATAAATTGATTAAATAAAATGTTTATACAATGTACAGTAAAATAAAATTATTGTGAAGGAGGCAAGATTTATGGTTTTATACAAAGTGGTTTAACTTAATAAAAAAAATTGCAGCTGAGGCAAGAAATACCCAAAGAAAAACAAAGATAAGGAAAATAACAAGGGGAGGTAATCTGATGGTACAAATAATTGGGTATTCATGTTAGATGCTGTAAGTATGCCAGATTGATCATAACAGATGTTATCAGCCGAAATGAACTTGACATTTAGGATAATATAAACATGGAGTGTCAGATGTTATTGAAAAAACAAGAGGCCCAAATGGGCCTGCATCGCTCACCTGGTATAAATCTCACTTGTAACCTTAAAAGTGATATAAAATGAAGCTACAGGCAGTATTTATGATTAAAAGTCATTCAAAAGAACCTGTTGAAAGATTCAAAAACGTTTCACCCCTGTGACCTTGAAAATCGAACAATGTCATTATGCTAAACAAATTTTATAGCCCTTCATGATCATCTCAGGATGCAACTCGCAAAATATCACCACCCTATCCTTTTGTTTATCATAATTAGGTAATTTAAATGTTTATACATAGTTGACGAAATGTGACCCTTCGGCCAGGTGAGCTAAAAATTACAACAAAAATACTCCCTTTATCCATAAATATGATGTGTAAAAAGAATGATCTATAGCAAAGAAAAAATCTTTAAAATGGAAAAAAAAACTAGAACACACTTCTTGAACTATGAGCCCACAATTATCACATTTTTATGCCAAATAATCACTAACACTGAACAAAATCCATATATTTATAGAATTACTCATCAGAACATCAAGTACCACCCCGAAATAAGTAACAGTAGCAAAATTTAAATTCCTACTTTTCCAAACTATGCCTGATGAACGAACACGAGTATTCGTCATATGAAGTTGTGTGAATTCTGTCACTGAAACAAGAATTCCCCTGAACCATAGAAGATAAATAAATATGAAGATGAATATATACATCTGTGCCATTAAATGTCTTCATTATAAAACTACAATGATATTTTCATGATAATCATTTATATCAAAAACACAAGGCAACTTCACATCATTAACATTCTTTACCAATTAACTTACTTGTAATAAAATTCCAATTTACCCTTTCACCACTGAAGACCATAATGGAATCATCCATATCAATGTGTGGTATAGTCTACTGAAGTTACATAGGGGTGAAAGGGTTAAGAACAAGCTTAAGCTGCATAATAAAAAAAACAAATAAAAAAAAAACCACATGTGGGAATGAATTATATTTCATGTCTTTACTTGCTAAAATGTGCGAGGAAAAGACTGTCCATGCTAAATTAGCAGGACTTGGAATGATGATTGTATAATGTGGGCTTTTTTTCAGACCAAATTGAAAATCTTAAATCTGTGATATTGCTCCTTAAATATAAGACTAGACAGACACTTATTAAATGTATAATTTTAGTATAGAGTGAACCTCCCTTTAAGACCACTTACATAAATAATCTGTTTATATAGACCACTCATCTATAGAGATCATCTGTGTATAAAAGTCATCCATCTCAATCACCTGCCTATAAAGACCACCTGTCTATAATGAACACATGCTAACAAAGATCATACCTTTATAAAGATCACCTGTGTAAATGGAATACATGCCTAGAAAGATCACAACTGTATATAGATCACCTGTCTATAACGACCACCTGTGTATATTGAATACATGCCTAGAAAGATCACAACTTTATATAGATCACCTGTCTATAAAGACCACCCTATGTTCCTATTAATACAATTCATGTTATAAATCACCTGTGCACAAATCAACCTACAAGTCTGTTTGAGATTCAAAATGTTAGAAATAATTCTACCCTGTCTATGTCTAGGTGAGGAGTGAATTAAACCTGTGCAATCTGAACACCAGTTACCCAGTAAATGAGGTAACTAGTGTATCTGGATAATGATGGTTGGTTTAGACAGTTTTTCACTGTATTAACACAAGAAAATGTCTTTCCAGTTGTCTCAAATGAATTTTATAGAAATATAAAAAAAGATGTATCCCTCTTTAAAAACTAAAATAAAGGAACTTTAAAAAAATGCTGAAAAAACTGGAATGTATTTTTGAACAATGTAGTAACTCCCAACTACAGAACAAGGATTGATTGTGAAATAAATTCCTAATAATTTCTAAAATCAGCTCTGCTTCCCGATTTCAAATTTTCTAATGAGTTCTGATGCTGTAAAGATGCAGGAGTCTAAAATACCAGCTACAGTGAAGGTTCCACCTACGATTGCACAAATCTACAAAAAATAATAAGAAAATTAAAAAAAATGATCACAAAATAATTCATTTGATCTAAATCAGAACATAATAATGCATTTTTCTTACAATTTCAAAAAATTCTAAAAATAAATATGTGGAATTTAATATTGTTGAAAATGTGTTTTTATGCTTTGATACTTTGTATCTTGCAATAAATCTTTCAGGCCTTGATGTTGAGTCTGAGTTATCTCCCTTATTTGAGCTAGATATGCATTAATAACATGAATCTCCTTTCACAAAAATGTTGCTTTTGGAAATGAGATTTAGGTATTTCACAATAAGGTAAGGTATTTCCTTCACATCAATGGTTTATTTATCAAAAACATTGGTTTAAAAAGATTCAATCTAAACAAATTAATTTTCTTAATGCATTGGAGTCAGTTATCTAATCTAAGATACCTTATATGAAATACAACGTATACTTACAGTGGTAAGGAAAGTGTAGAAAGGTTTCCTTTTCTCCTTGTAACGTACTGTGATTGGACTGAGATCATATCGGAACCAAATAGCTGGCATCACTCTACCACCATGTCCGTATTGTAACATGTCCTGTAAACATAGAAACAGGCAGTGAACTACATGTGTAGCCGTAGAGCATCCCTCTAACAGGCAGTGAACTACATGTGTAGCGGTAGAGCATCCGTCTAACAGGCAGTGAACTACATGTGGAGCTGTAGAGCATCCGTCTAACAGGCAGTGAACTACATGTGTAGCAGTAGAGCATCCGTCTAAACAGGCAGTGAACTATATGTGTAGCGGTAGAGCATCCGTCTAACAGGCAGTGAACTACATGTGTAGAGGTAGAGCATCCGTCTAACAGGCAGAGAACTACATGTGTAGCAGTAGAGCATCCGTCTAAACAGGCAATGAACTATATGTGTAGCGGTAGAGCATCCGTCTAACAGGCAGTAAACTACATGTGTAGCTGTAGAGCATCCGTCTAACGGGCAGTGAACTACATGTGTAGCTGTAGAGCATCTGTCCAAACAGGCAGTGAACTACATGTGTAGAGGTAGAGCATCCGTCTAACAGGCATTGAACTACATGTGTAGCTGTAGAGCATCTGTCTACACAGGCAGTGAACTACATGTGTAGCGGTAGAGAATCCGTCTAACAGGCAGTGAACTACATGTGTAGATGTAGAGCATCCGTCTAACAGGCAGTGAACTACATGTGTAGAGGGAGAGCATCTGCCTAACCGGCAGTGAACTACATGTGTAGCTGTAGAGCATCTGTCTACACAGGCAGTGAACTACATGTGTAGCGGTAGAGAATCCGTCTAACAGGCAGTGAACTACATGTGTAGAGGGAGAGCATCCGTCTAACAGGCAGTGAACTACATGCGTAGCGGTAAAGCATCCGTCTACAGGCAGTGAACTACATGTGTAGCGGTAGAGCACCTGTCTAACAGGCAGTGAACTACATGCGTAGAGGTAGAGCATCCGTCTAACAGGCAGTGAACTACAAGTGTAGCGGTAAAGCATCCGTCTACAGGCAGTGAACTACATGTGTAGCAATAGAGCAACCGTCTAAACAGGCAGTGAACTACATGTGTAGCTGTAGAGCATCTGTCCAAACAGGCAGTGAACTACATGTGTAGAGGTAGAGCACCCGTCCAACAGGCAGTGAACTACATGCGTAGAGGTAGAGCATCCCTCTAACAGGCGGTGAACTACATGTGTAGCGGTAGAGCATCTGTCTAACAGAGAGTGAACTACATGTGTAGCGGTAGAGCATCTGTCTAACAGACAGTGAACTACATGTGTAGCGGTAGAGCATCTGTCTAACAGGCAGTGAACTACATGTGTAACTGTACAGCATCTGTCTAAACAGGCAGTTAACTACATGTGTAGAGGTAGAGCATCCGTCTAACAGGCAGTGAACTACATGTGTAGCGGTAGAGCACCTGTCTAACAGGCAGTGAACCACATGTGTAGCGGTAGAGCATCTGTCTTACAGGCCATGAACTACACATGTATTAGTAGAGCATCTGTCTAAACAGACAGTGAACTACATGTGTAGCGGTAAAGCATCCTTCTACAGGCAGTGACCTACATGTGTAGCGGTAGAGCATCCGTCTAACAGGGAGTGAACTACATGTGTAGCGGTAGGGCACCTGTCTAACAGGCAGTGAACCACATGTGTAGCGGTAGAGCATCTGTCTAACAGAGAGTGAACTACATGTGTAGCGGTAAAGCATCCTTCTACAGGCAGTGACCTACATGTGTAGCTGTAGAGCATCTGTCTAAACAGGCAGTGGACTACATGTGTAGCGGTAGAGCATCCCTCTAACAGGCAGTGAACTACATGTGTAACCGTACAGCATCTGTCTAAACAGGCAGTTAACTACATGTGTAGCGGTAGAGCATCTGTCGAAACAGGCAGTGAACTATATGTGTAGCTGTAGAGCATCCATCTAACAGGCAGTGAACTACATGTGTAGCGGTAGAGCATCCGTCTAACAGGCAGTGAACTACATGTGTAGCTGTAGAGCATCCGTCTTACAGGCAGTGAACTACATGTGTAGCTGTAGAGCATCCGTCTTACAGGCAGTGAACTACATGTGTAGCTGTAGAGCATCTGTCGAAACAGGCAGTGAACTACATGTGGAGCGGTAGAGCATCTGTCGAAACAGGCAGTGAACTACATGTGTAGCGGTAGAGCATCCGTCTACACAGGCAGTGAACTACATGTGTAGAGGTAGAGCATCCGCCAAACAGACAGTGAACTACATGTGTAGCGGTAGAGCATCTGTCTTACAGGCCATGAACTACACATGTATTAGTAGAGCATCTGTCTAAACAGACAGTGAACTACATGTGTAGCGGTAGAGCATCTGTCTAACAGGCAGTGAACTACATGTGTAGCGGTAGAGCATCTGTCTTACAGGCCATGAACTACACATGTATTAGAAGAGCATCTGTCTAAACAGACAGTGAACTACATGTGTAGCGGTAGAGCATCTGTCGAAACAGGCAGTGAACTACATGTGTAGCGGTAGAGCATCTGTCTAAGAGTTAGAACCCCGGTTTGGCCATGCATTTACCCGCTCCTACTACATTTGGTGCCGGACCAACCTTTGTTTCAAGTACTAGGTGAATGCTTGACAAGGGGGAACCCAAACTTGGTTGTAAGTAGTGTTGTCTTCGTACATGTAGCTCAATTGGTAGAGAGTCCATCTAGAGCTACTTGGAGGGCCCCAGGTTCAAACCCTGGTCTAGCCTTGCATTTTTCAACTCCTACTATACAGGTAGTAGAACAATGTATGAAAAGACCTAGGCAAGATGTTAGTAAAATATGAGCTTCAGATAGGAATGAATTATCCAACATTACACTGTAAACATAAATACTTCTTCTCTGCGTTGATTTCATAACTTCAATTACTGTACTCTTTTTATCAATAAGCATTTTATAATTATCTGCCGCCATTTTCTTCCAAATATGAACTTAGTACGGTAAAATTTGATACGATTCTTCGATTGGAGTTTCAGTATCAATGTTGTGATAACTAATGCTTTGTTAATTTTCACATCATACGTGTAATTATACTTACTCTATGTGAATACGTATACTGGTAGGGAAAATGAACATTTCCTGAGATGTCTTCATACACAGTGGGAACAATCTTCACAATGTAGTCATGGGTGTGAATGGCTGTAAAATCAACATTGATTAATTCAACCATAGTCCATCAACACAAACAAAATCCAATTATTTGCCATATTAAGTATCCTGGAACAGCGGATGCTTTAAAATTTAGGTTAAGTGGCAAAGATGAAAAAGGTGTTATATACCACACAAAATGACATCATCTTTCACATTTGTCAACAAAGAATCGAAGGTACTGAACATTTGAACTCAAAAAATGTGTTTCTATGTACCGTTACTTCCTAGTAAGGATTCATGAAAAATATTATGTTCTTTCAAAACTGGAGGTTATCATGTGTGGGAATAAGAGTACATGTCTTTCTCCTTTGGGGCAAGACATGTTTGGGGGATCTTAACCGAAGGTGGGAAACTCTTCAGATGTCAAACAGGAGGCCTAGGTTTGCGAAATGTTTGACAACCTCTACATTTTTCCTAAGGTTGAGATCCTCTTTAAGATCCCAAGTGGAGAAACGACCTTTTCCTTATTCTGTTGGCCCAGTCATATAATATACTATGTTGACAATTTTTTCATGATCGCTGTCCGACTGCAATATTGCAGTTTTTCGTAAATATAGTTACCTCCCCTTAACTTCATTTAAGATATCCAGGTATAGCAATAGCATAACAACCTGAACTCCAGCTTTCAAATCTTGGTTTATGAATGGTGAATATTTACACTCAGAACTGTTGTTGATTATTTGTTGTTTATTTCAATTTTCATCATAGTCCTGTCCTGCAAGGCATGTTTTTTTTTTAAGAAATGATTTTTCAAAGTTACAATATATTCCATTCCAGAAAAATCTGTTTTCAATCTGTACTTACAATTTTTTGTCAGTAGAACAGGAATCTTTAATGCATATTTAATGTGACATCATATTACATTTTTTTTTATGACAGGAAAAATCCCCTTGTCTCAACCTAATTAGGGTAAGGGAAATATATTTCTGGTAAAAGTGAAGATACACCTGTCAGGTTTCAGAAAAGGATTTATTAGACATGGACTTCACACACAGTACATGTGTATTCTGCATAGTAAGTCATCTATGCGTGTGCTTGGTAAATTACTCACCGTTGGCTTCTCGTCTGTCAACATCTTCTAGAGGGTTAAAAGAACCCCTCACAGCCTGTCAAAGAAACAAAAACAAAAATAGAATAGAAATTGAATATGTTTATACAAATGGGAAGTGATATTAAGCGAAATCTACTGTAGAACTGAAATAAATCGTTTTCATTTTTTTATGAAAAAAAATCTGCCAACCACATTAATCTCAATTAAAAAAAAATCTGCACATCCTTTTTTACTATTTTTCTAATCATCAATGCCTATTTGAGTAAGTCTTTTGAATGTCATCGGCCCAAGAAATACCAAAGATCTTTTTACTTATATTTATATGTAAATTGGTTCTCCTTTATGGAGAGAATCTGTATTTCCCATTCTCTTGAAGGCGGCCATGGTAATTTTTATCAATGATCAAGGACACAAAAAACGATCAAAGTCGTGTGACTTTTTAATATTTTCACGATGAACCCCATATAGCTACATACAACTGGCTGACAAGTAACAATTGACTGAAATCTCCTGCCATCAAGTCACTTCACCCTTACTATGCTCAACCAACAAATGTGTGTCTGGATATTAAAAATTCTACTTGAGACAACTATCTTTTCAAATTTTCAAGATAGGTGAATTACTAGCACCCATGTTTTGCTACAAGACCTTATATAGGCTCAATTTACATGTGGGTCTAAAACTTTATTCATTTTACAACAATTATGAAACAAGTTCTTTCAACTTATATTAATCAGTCTTGTTGGCCCGGATGTTAGCGCGCGGGGGGGTCTTAGTGTGGGGGGGGAAACCGGAGAAAACCCACGTGATCGGGCAGGTGACCCTAAACCTTTTCGTGTCTGATCGGGGAATCGAACCTGTGGGTTACTAGCTATAGGCTAGAGATTTACTTTTTAACTTTGTGACTAGGATGTGTGCGAACCTACCTTGTCCGCCTCAATGTCAATGTCCATCCCGAATCGGACCTTTTGGATGATGTGTGTCATATCTGGGTTCTGAGGTTGAACTTTGGCTGAATGTGTCGACACATGAAAGTTTCCAGGAATCTGAATTAGAGTTGAAAAAATTATCAAACTACATTAAAGGAGTGAATATTTTGTGAGTTATACATAATTTTATGAACCTATTTATCCCAGCAACATACAGATATGACATTACAAAAATGTATTTCCACTTTGCTAAATTTCACAGTAAAATGTACTTGTCTTAACTGATTGGAAATGTTCTATCCTTAAACGAATATTTATTTATAGATAATACAGATTATAGATATAAGGATAAATAGATTTTAGAACTATTGCCAATGTGAAAAAATGTCCACGTTGCAAAATGATTTTAAAGGGTCACGATGCAAACATTTCCACAAGTGAAAATTTTCGCTTTCAAAGTACTTTAAGATAGATATCATATTACCATAAATAGATAATGACAGTTTGGACATGTAAAGCAATACAATTTTGCTTTTTAAAAGATATCTTGTCGCAAGCTTTTTCCTACTGACCAACAGATGCACACATGCATCCAAAAAGGCACTAACAAAGTGATAGCTATAAACCCTCTCCACTAAGGGGGGGGTATAACAATATAATGCAATAACTGTCTCTTCAATTTTAGGCTATCTGAAAGCTGTTGGTCTTTTTAATAAAATTTAAGTCACCATAGCCACAATGCATGTTCAATTTTACATTTCAGTTTGGTTTGATGTTTTTATTTAGCATTTGTTTTTGTCGACCATTTGTTGGCCCTAATGACATATATATCCTGTGTTGATGGGCCATTAAGCATTGTTAATGATATATCGTATTGTTTTGTTCAGATATTAATTAAACTGAAAATCAAATGTAAATGTGAATCAACCTCTCGTTACAATAAATTTCAAATACCACTGATACAATCTATTATAATTTATATGAAGCATTAAAGGTGACGATGGGGACACATTAATTGTCAAGTTATCAGAGTGACCTGCTCATTTATCCACACAACACTAATACTACAGATATAAACAAGGGGAGGACAAAGTTTACCTTATTGACAAGAAAATGGGATTCCATCCGACAGCCTTCACCACTTTCCGTCACCAATTCAAATTTCTGTGTGTTGTCCTGGAAACCCACCTCGTGTCTCCCCATGTCATCCTGAATATCTAGTCCAAGATCTGGAACAAAGTCAGCGTTCGTTTGTCAGCAATGTCTAGTAAATTGAACGGCAACTTAGTAAACAGCATGACTTAAGAGACAAAAAAAAATAATTTAGTTACTACCATTTCTCAATACTGAAATTTATAACAAATAGATAAATAATTTACATGAGTTTTTACAGCATTCATATTCAAACTAAACTTTTTTCATATTCACATTTACATTTTCACATTTACATTTTGTATTCACATTTACATTTTGTATTCACATTCACATTTTGTATTCACATTTTGCACTCTCACACATTTTGCTTTTAACATTATAACATTGTGTATTCTCACACTAACATATTGAATTTATATATTTTGTATTCACATTTACTATTTGTATTCAAATTTTGTAATCACATTCAAATTTTACCATAATCACATTCACTTTTGACTGTACTTACATTCACATTTTAGGTTGGGGAGAGTAATGTTGAGAAATACAGGAATCTTCTCTGAGTGTTTTACTGGATCTTCTACTGTCAACTCACTTGTCCTAAGATATAAATATGGCAGAGGTTTGCAGGACAATCTATATAATCCCAACGGTAAAATGGGCAAAAATGTTATTTTTTGCATCAATCCTCATAGCAGACAATAACAAAATATACTTGCATACCATATTATTTTAATAGCTTCAGGTGAAATAATATACATACAAGAGGTCAAAATATAGGTCACTGTGACCTACTCTTAGTGTGCGACACCCTGCTATCCCTTGATGTATCAGTATCATAATAAGTACATGTTAAACAGTACAGATAGCAGATACTAGCTGTGAGAACTGTAGCCCAAGGTCTAATCAATTTTTTATTATTTTGAAATTTTCCAATAATCTGAAATTCTCAAAATATCTAAAATTTAAAAAAAAATGATTGGACCTTGAGCTTGAGTTTCCGCAGCTAAAGAGATACTGACTGCATGAATACAAATATTACCTACAGGTGTCACATGTGTTGGACTGCTACCTACCAAACCACAAGTCTCATTTGTCTATAGTGACATGCACCTGTAATAATAGATCTAGACTGTCTTACAGGTGAGCAGACAGACAAGGCTAGTGCCTGTGATCAGGAATTCAGGAATCAACAAGAATAAAGTTTATCCTGTATATGAGTTAGTAAAGGCAAAGTTTAATCTATTTGACAGCTAACTATGAAATTTGTCCAGTTTAATGATAATTAATGAAGGTTTGTTTGAACGTGACTGTGTACTGGGATTGTAGAGACTAGTTGCAGAAACACATGATAATATTCCTGGGGACATGCATGTCTCTCGATAAATTGACTGTAACCACACACTGCTGTAGAGTTTAATATATATGCAGACCCCCCCTCTTATTTGGCATCATTTCCAAAGCTACATATGTATATTCAGAGTTGACTTGATGAATTCATCATTGGAGCAACAAAAAAGCGAAACTTCTCTAATCTGACCTTTAAATATTCCCACATCAAGCCTAATATGAACCCCTGAGTATTCTGAACTACTGTTATATATATATAACCCAGTACATTCTAACATCCTGTCTAATCTAGCACCAGAGTATTTTGACATCCTGTATAATCTGACCCCTGGATACTATCCTAAATATTGAAATCATGATTCCTGTCTAATATGACACCGGAGTAATCTGACATGTCTTATCACACTCCCAAGTATTCTGTCTAATCTGGAACCTGAATATTCTGACATGTATTTTAATCCAACAAAATGAAGTAATCTAGTCTCTGATAAAAAGTATTATAAAAGACTTGTCTTATCAGACATCCTGCATAATCTGACCTATATAGACATTGACCGATATGGTGTCATATTAGACAAGTTTCACTGCATACAGAGTAAAAGCTCTCCTTTCATGGTATCAATTCAGATATCTTAGACAGGTGGTTTTTTGTTGGCTTAGGTATATTTAATTTTGTGAGCATATGAAAGTATTTAAAACCATTTTTCTTCATTTTTTATCCTGTGTTTTCAAAGGTTTCATAATATCTAATGTTAATCTAAGTCATCTTGTTATAAAACATCTTTGAGGTATAAAAGAAATGAGTTGGTTTCCTGCAAGGGTCAAAATCACCAAAAAAGATTATTTATAGATTTTAGAGTATGTTATTCTTTCTGTTGGGAGAAGATACTCTAATCATCAGAATGTCTGCCTGAAATATAAAAGGCAGGAAAAACCCTGCCATGCAGACCCATTTTGAGAAATTATTTTTCCTTCAAAGCAAAACATATAGTTTACTTGAACTGAACTTTATGCAAATATATCTTGTCTTAATGAATATTTCAGCATTTTGTTGCCTTAAAAAGCAAACCAGCAATAGAATACATCAATGGACAAATAATACTTTTCTCGCACCTCAGACAGAGATATCCCATGTCATACCCCATGCTAGATTTTTCTATCTCGTCCGATCTGTCTTGTACCTTTACGTGACATTTCGCGGAATTTTTACACTGCGATGTATTCATCCACACATTAACTGCTTGATATTGACAATTTGCATTACAAATGTCCTGTTTTGTCGTTATATGTATAGTTTTGATGTTGTTAGATATTTGATTTTGTAGAAAAATATAATCTACACTGTGAAATACGTTGTAATCTATGTAAGGGCGGCCTACATTTTTACGCGGTAGCATTCAAATGTAGTGTTAGTAGTGAAGAGGTCATTATCATTTGAGGCCCAAGGCGGGATACTTACAGTTTTAAGCAAAATTGAATACATGTAGTTCTTTTCAAACTAATAGGTGCGAGAAAAAAAATCAATTACCTGTAACTGAGCAAGATCGGGTTTTCTCAGTCTCGGGCTAAGATTCTGTAACATCTCAACCTCGGCTATCGTCTCGGTTGGGATTTTGTTACAGAATCTTAACCCTCGACTGAGATAACCCGATATCGCTCAATTACAGGTAAAAGGTTTTATTAGTCCAGTTCAACAATATATACTTCAAACGAGTGTCTAAACACCTGTCCAGTATACTTCACAACAGCAAGGGAGTACATACTACATACCCGGTAACTGATTTTAGTATTTTGCATGCATTATACTCACGTTTCCACGCTTATAAACAGTGACAGTTCCGATAGAAAGAGAAAACATATAAATAGAACGCTGCTGATGGAAATACAGGCTCCTGTTAAGGTCGGCTGGGTCAAGTCCTTTGGAACCTTCCGATAGATGTCAAACCTAGAAACAAAACAGAAGGAAATCTGTCAGTCTCATCCCATTACATCAATACAAATATAAGCATACATTAGTATGTTCTTTTGGGCAAAACAATTTTCATAAGAAGTATGGGTGGGGGGAGGAGGTGGAGGAAGAAACACTTTCTATCCGTCACCTCTGGTCTTTTGAAAAGCTATAATACATGTATTTAGGTTGATATTATGAACCCTGTTACTAGAATACTTACCTGGAGGTAAATATATTAATTACTAGAATCTCCCCCTAATTTGAGGGTATGACACATAGAAACTTCCAACTAGAGGTGTGATTATGTTTGGTTGTCTCTCAGAAGGTAAGACAACCTGTTACCATATAATCACCCTGTGGTAAAGTTCTGCATGTTAACTCTGTAAAATTTCCTCCATATCTCGGAAAATGGTGAAGACACTTTAAAACATATAACGGTCATAGAAATAGCATAATGTACTCCAAAAGGAATTATTTACATTTTGCTATATTTGTAATTTGCCAGCTAGCTAGTACCTGCGTAGTGGTCAAGGTTAATTACTGATGTTTCGAGATACATGTTCTGTATAGGACACATGCCATTCGGCACACCTCGGCAGATCTACATCTAACGATGAAGGGTTCCGAGGTTAGCCGAATGGGGCACATGCAACATTTATTCTGGAACTTCTTCTAAATTAAATGGACCCGATTCCAAAAATCTCAGCATGAAAAGGTTTGATTTTACACAGTACACCGACATTAAAATTAAAATATGTTGACATCAATTGTTCCACAGATTATAATATCTGACAATAATGCTGAAATAGTGAGTCAATATAATTCTTCTATGCATTTATTTTCAGGGTTTTTTCAATGACAAGAAACTCCACAATGACAAGATTTAACTTAGTTTTTATTTTGATGATTGACAGCTAACATGAAATGTGTATGTAATTATAAATGATACTGGTCATTTATTGCAAATCATGAATCATAAATAATGGAAGCCAAGTTTTGAGCGAGTTTCATGTAGGTGTGTTTGGGGGATGTTAATCAAACTACACATTTTAATTAACCCTTTCACCCCTATGTAACTTTAGTAGACTCTACCATGCATTGATATGGAGGGGTCCATTATGGTCTACAGTGGTGAAAGGGTTTTAAACCAGCTAGTGGCTACACCACGGAAAGGTGCGTTCAATTTCTATGCAGGGCTCTGACCACAATTAATTTCCCCATATGTTCTTTCAAAAAAAAAACCCTTTAAATAATGTTATATAATTTTGCTCATATCAATGTCATATTGTTAATAGCATCTTCCAGTTTATATATAATGTTTGACCATTTTACCCCTCGGTAACTTAAGTAGACTTTAACATACATTCATCTGGATGAGTCCATTATGGTCTACAGTGGTGAAAGGGTTAACGATGGTGGCTAATTTGTGCCATTTCATTGTTTTGTATTTATGCCCCCAAAAAACATGATTTGATAACTTTTAATCTTGTTGCTTTGTCTTTTTGGGGTTAAAAGAGGAAAGAACAAAAAAAAGAATTGTTCATTCTCGTCTTTTTGGGAAGAAAAGATGAAAGAACGAGAATCAAGGTTTGTTAATTATAGTCTGTTTGGGAAAAAACAGACAAAAGTACAAGAATCAAGGTTTCTTAGTTAATTTTTCGTCTTCTTGGAAATCACTCAAATCAGCCACCATATTTATCAAAAACATGTTTTCTCAATAAACATCTATGAACATATGTATGTATAAATATTGGTAGTATGTTTAACAGCAATTTCTTTTTTAAAACATCAGAATTCCTAGTACATGTATTAATATTTAAGCAGGACCTGGAGAACATAAACAAATGATCTAATGGGAAAATGGCATAACAAGAAAGACTGTTGGCAAGTCACTGTATATCAAACATGTCACACGTTTTACATTTAAGGCACAATCTAGTTATGTTACATTCATCAGTGAACTTAAGGTGTTGACATCTTCCAACAATGATTAATTTTGAAGTTTTACTGACCTTTTCAACATGGTGTTCAATCTCCCCTGGCTTAGACTATTGCAACTAGATAATACTCTTCACATCTGTTCAGACACTGGGATAACTAAGATCCAAGTATGACTGCCCTAGCCTATAGCACTTACACTTCTTGAGAAGTATATCCTATAAAAACTATAACTTCATGTTAGATCTCAATGTGAATGTTTGACATCAACGCCAGACAAACAACATTTAATATAGTCTCATCAAGTTCTTCTCCTATGTCAAGGCCAAACAAAAAATACCTGTTCAGGTTTATTAAACTATGTAAACTACAAACAATTCTCTTGTAATGACTCTGAGGGTCCTTTTTCACACGTGAGCTTGGTGTTAAATAAAGGCAATTATCTGAACAAATGTTGAAGAGGTTTCTTCAGTGAGCTTCATTAGTATGTAGCTTTAGTACATGTTCATATGAAGTGGTGATTTATAGGTCAAATTTAAAACCAATCTCTTAAAATACAACACATATGAAAATACACAGTGTTTCTATCAATATCATGCTTTGCTTTACATTTTTAGGCAAAAACAAGTTCCATGTAACAGGACTGAAAAAGGGTATGATGGTAATGTTTTATTTTTATTTATTATTTGCTTATTAAAGAAAATTATTACAAAAATGATTAATCATAATTCTTCAGACCAACTTGTATTATTTTCTAATTGTATTTGTAAGTCTTTTAAATAATAATACGGGATTTAAATTAAAACTAGGGCCGGTTGGGGTACGTTAAACATGTTTTTTTGCCCTTATCACATTTTCTTCTTACACATAACATTAAGTAGAATCTGCTTTATGTTGTTTTGTTTTATTTATTTTTTTACCAGTGTAGTATTGTGTATTTGAGTTTATCACAGGTGCTTATATCAAATCTGCACTCTTCACTAAAACATCCTGGACATGACAAGTCAATAGCAGCTTGTAGAAGTACCAATAGTTGTATGGGTATCTTTGAGAATATGTTTGTGTTTCGTACCATTATAAATTTTAAAAAGATCCATTTCAATCCATAGTTTTACATTCAAAACGGCAAAGACAATACTATGTCGTCATTCTTTGAAGTCATATTCATTTCAAAATACATTTCAAAGAAACTGTTTTACCTATTTTGTAGAACACATTTTTTGCAGAAACAAGATTAATAGAATCTCTCAACCCCTTGGGGGTGACATAGGGGAATTTCAACCAGAGGGAGAAGCTTCTTAAGTTGAGAACTTAACTTAAGAATCTTTTCCCCGAGGGTTGAGATTCCCTTTTCTCACCCACAAGGGGTGAATGATTCTTTTTCTCTTACCCTGTTCACCCATTGTGTATCATATACAAAATGTAATGATAACGCTACATGCTAAATTCAGGGTTGACGTGACGTTGATGGATTTTTGATTTGACGTCATTGTATTGTTGAAGTGACGTCATACCATTGTTATGAATAGGGTGATCCCCCCGTCTCGACCCTAGGGTGAGACAAGGAAATCTCACACCGGTAAAAGTGTGGATACACCTATCCAGGGTAAGAGAACATGTTTTCTCGCACCTCAGACAGGGATATCCCATGTCATACCCGGTGTACTAGATTTTCTATCTCGTCCAATCTGTCTGGTACCTTTAAGTGAAATATTTTGGAATTTTTACACAGCGATATATTCATCCACACGTTAACATGCTAAAAAAGATCTGTAACACCCCAACCTCGGCTTACACGACCATTGGGATTGTGTCACAGAATTTTAGCCCTCACCTGAGAGAACCTGATCTTGATCATTTACTAGTTATTAGATTTTATTATTCTTAAATTGTTACCAGTTCCGTCAAGAGGCCAATGTCAAATGAAAACCATTCGTGAATTTTTGTCAAAAAGTTGAATTAATTATCACATCATGATTGGTCCCAAATTGCAGTGTTGCAAAGACCTGAACAGTTTCTGATCGGCAAAATATTCACATGTTATAGTTCATGTTGCTATAAGGTTATATCATTAACATTTTTGGTTGGTAGGTTTATAATATTTAAGTACTGCACAAAGAAAATATAAATATTATTTATGAACTGATTGAGCAAAGTATAAACAATTGATAATCATGCATGTTTTAATAAGGGGAAAAAAACACAGTATCTAAAGTCAGATTATCCCCAATCTTATTCAAATCAGCTAAATTTTCCCATCAAAAGAAATGATAATTTTTAAATAAGCTTTGAAGTTAATTTTCTTCAAAATCTGGATCACTCTAGATCTGTCGCAGATATGGAGAGATCAGGAACGATTCAAAGTGAGGCAGTCTTACATTGGCCTTTCAGGGTCACACTATTGTTCATGATGTCATCAAAAATCAATTCCATGAGGTGTCAGGGTCATGCAGGGTCACTGACGTCATTAACAATTCTGGGCTTCATATGCAAATGAGAAACTGGCAGACAGTATATTTTGGTTATATCATTGCAGATTATTTTGCTTGAAGAATCAAATGTGGTATTACATATCACAGGTACATTAACAGATGTAAAACTGATTATTTTACTAGGATGCAAATTTATCGATTGTCAAGAATAATTTCTATTTTGATAATCTATTCTAATGATGAGTATCTGATAATAACACAGTTTTGTAAATTTTCTGCTTTAGCTACAGTCCGTTTTAATACAGTTCCACTGATCATGAGCATGTCATGATAATACGGTTTACAAGATTTGCGTGGCATATATATTCAGTTTTGTAGGCTTCAATTTCTTCCTTTTATTACTTATGTTCTTGTTTCCACTCTACCATTGGAGAGAAAAAAATACGAATTGAAATGCAATTTGTTATGAATTTTTTTTTATTCTTTAAAGTAATTTTTAAATGTAGTCCTGTAGGCTTTATGCAGAGACGTTAATAGGTCTCTGCTTTATGATGTGCAATCTAAGATTATCTGCCATTGATCAACATAATTCATTAATTGAAATTATTAATGTCGCCATATGATATAGATGATTTATTAAACAAAATCAAAAACAAATAGGCCTAAACGAGAGACATGATGATGGAAACGTGAGTTATAAAGAAAATTTGATTCCCGGGTCGTTATAAATATTAGCATAAATCTATATAGATGCATCAACAAAAAAAAGTCTGTCGTATATTGTCGCATTACATGTAGCTATAGCCAGTCGGTAAGTAACACGTATGCAGTACGAGAGCGAGACATATTCTTGTCAACTTGCTGTGACAGTTCAAGACAGTTCCGGGGTCTCAGCTTCAATCTCGATCATTTACACGTATATCAGCAACGGCACATGTGGAATTTCCTGTAATACATACCTCCGAATGTCGAACTGCATCTTGTACGTCAATTTTATGTTTACAGCTGGCAAGTGAAAATGTGCCAACCGGTAGACGTAAAGCGGAAGTTACGTAGTTGTCTGGCGAATTCGATTGGCTTACATATAGAAAACGAAAGTAAGAGTGAGATTTTGACATACAAATGAATATGCATCTACTGTATTGTTAAAATATCGATATAGCCTATCTATATGTTTAAAGTAGTCGAGCTTACCGACAAGAAGCCAAATATCAAACCGATACAAATACAAAAATGTATTAGCAGGTTCGCGTTTATTTATTTTTGTTTTGTAAGAGTTGTCCCCCTTTGTTCTCCTGTATTCTTTCACAATCGCTTTTACCGGTTAAGCGGATTAGGAAGCTTAAAGGCCAAGGACGACCTAGTTTTAAATCCGTACGGATTCTTATCAGTAAGAGACGGAGTCGAGCAGCTCTTAACAGCAAACTCCCTAGCAGCAGCAAATTGTAAACACATACACGTGGGCATACATGTGCCAGGCCACTAGCTCATAACACGTCTTGGAGATCGCATGCTAAAATAAGGTCTACTTACTATATGGTGTGACATAAATCCCAAAATCATATTAATTTAGTTCTACAAACACAGAGTGATAACTCATAAATAAGACACAATCTTCATCATTCTGTTCCATATGTTTGATATGTAAGTATAGCTCAATGCACTATACACTTTTCCCCCTTTTGCTGTTCTTCATGCATTGGGAATGTTTTTCCGATCGAGAGATGTGTATTTACGGTCTACATTGGTGTTCCAGTGACACACTGCAATAACAGATCGTGTTTCATATTGTTTGTCACTAAATGAAATCCGTTTATCATGAAAAATGTTCATCACGTTGTTAAAACTTTCAACATAAAATGTGTCTCGTGCAAGGACAAAATCATGTGGACTCTTATACAACACATAACTTGTTAGCACTTTGAATAGGAGTTTTATGGCGACTGCATCTGAAAGAATTTGTCTAGATGGTTCATCATTTTTATCTTTCCTGCATCTACTCTCAGCATAACACCCCGCGTGATTTCCTTTGTAATGCTCAATGATGTTGAGAAGGTTCCGTTTCAGGATCTCAGGGTTCCCATTACAATTTTTCATACACCAGAACGCATGTGTGAGTGTCGTTTCAACTTTGTCCTGAAGAAGAGGTGACCAAGTTTCCCTTTTTGATATAGCGGCCCTGTTGACACATTGTGCAATGCCTTTTTTCATGTTCTTTGTTGCATGCCAGCTATCGTTTTTGGTTTGTTGAGTGTCCTGTTTCTCTGACATATTTGTTGATTGCCATGTTTCTGTCGTGTGTGTGTACATTGATGGTGACAACAATTTCATTCATTTCTTCATAAAATTTCACAGTGCCAAAATTTTTCGTGTCGCTGGGATACTGGGTCATTTGCTTTTCTAACACAAATTTGCAACAGGTTTTGAGAACACTTTGCATTATTTATTACATAGAAATATGGTATTTCAAGAAAATCGTTACAAAGCTGATAAAAAACATGGTCAATGAAAAAAAAATCAAATAAATATATACCAATTCAACCTGACTGAATTTTAAGTTTGCAAAGTATTAGACATACAAGTAACATATATACATTATATCTGTTACTTTAAATATACTCAATGGATTCACAAGACATTCCTTATTTTACGCCCGCTGAATCACCAAAGGAAAAGAGTAATCTCTATATAAGATAAGCCCGAAACTGTACGTCACGACGAAGACAATAATCGTATAGTAAAACCTCGTTATACTACTGCCGACATTTGTCCAAAGAAATGTTGGCGCTATAAAGGGGTTTTGCGATAAAATTAGGTAAATGTATAAGAATAGTCTAACAAGATGAGAAAAAGGGGACGTTGAAATAGGTCGGCGGTAGGTGAGGTGGACAGTTAAACGAGGGGCATTATATCGAGGTTTTACTGTGTTAAGTAATCAAACATAAACTCGCGAAATAAGTATTGGTAGAAAATGTTCCTCTCGGATCAAACTCTTGCTTTGTAGGGAAAAAAAGAGTTGTCACGAATGGAGAAAATTCCGGTAATTAGTGGTATTCCGCAAGGCTCAGTGCTAGGACCACTTCTTTTTCGTAATATATATATAAATGATGTGCCACCTGTAACAAGCATGGGAACGGATACTGATCTTTTCACTGACGACACGAAAGCGTTTAAAGTAATAAAAAAATAAAAAGACTGTGCAGAGCTCCAACAGGATATACTTTCACTATAAAAATTGTCGGAAATCTGCTAACTACGTACGTTTCCACCCCGACAAATGCGAAATGATGCGTGTGGGAAATATTCAAATATACTCTGGATGAACGTTTGCCGTCATTACTTTTTGTGAATTAGGAAAGGGATATTGGAGTCACCATAGATGATAAACTAGCATTTGACAAACATTTATGCGAAAATCTTAATAAAGCAAAATCTAGTATGTGAGTATTGCGGAGAAAACTGGAATATATCAACATTCATTTTTTTTTATATATATAAACATCCTTAGTAAGACCTTATATTGATTACGCAAACCAAGTCTGGTGTCTTGATTAAAACACCCTTTTAATAGGAATTGAAAATGTTCAACGTCTAGCGACGGAACAAGTACAGAACAGCTTAAGAAATAAAGATTACCAACATTAACGTATTCCGTCTTTGCGTATTGCAGAGTTATCTTCTCTTGAGAGCAGGTATTGATTGTTAAGTCATTTGTTTGTGAGAGTACACATCCCTGCACGAACCAATGGCGTAACAATCAATACCTGCTCTCACGAGAAGATAACTCTGCAATACGCAAAGACGGAATAGAAGATCACGTGGTGATATGAAAGAGGTGTATAAACTAATTTCCGGAAAATATGACACAGAAGTCGCAAACTTATTTACAATTAAAGAAACCTCAAATACAGGAGGTCATAACCTAAAAATAGATATAAAGAGTATACGAGGTTAAATATTAAGTACTCGTTTACACAAACAACTGATGACAACTTGAACAACCTCCCGCCAGTGGTAGTAAAACAGTTAAACATTTGAGTACGATATAGATGAACATTGGAAAAATCAACCACAAAAGAATCGTTTTAAAGTAAAAAGAAATAGTTTAATTTATTAATTGAAATAGTTAATGATATAATAACGGGTAAAATATTCCGCAAGATTATCTAAGCAGGAATGTACAAGGGTGATCAGACCAAAGTTTGTTGAGTCTGTGTTTACCACCTAATTTGACAGACTATTCCAGGCCTCCACAACCCTGTTGCTGGAGCTGTTACTGCTGATTTGTCTGTGAGTCCCCCTTTTGAACAGTTTCTTGTCATTCCCTCTTGGCCTGGTATCATGGCTATGGGTCATTGTAAACATTTTGCTATTGTCTATATTGTCTTTCCTTCTAGGATGTTGTATGTTTGTATCATATCTGCTCGTCGTCTTCTATATTCTAGAGTCAACAAACCTAGATGGCGCAGTCGCTCTGGATATGAATTATATAATTATGTCGGGACTAGACGTGTTGCCCTTCTTTTTACGTTTTCCAACGTTTTTATACCTTTATTGGGAGTGTAGACCAAACCACACCGGCAAAGTCAAGGTGAGGGCGGACTAGTGATTTTTATAGTGTATGTGCTCATATATTATCCACTTATTAAAACGTTCTGAAGATGAGGCCTACAGGTTATTTTTTTGCTTTGGCTACTGATGTTGATATGTGGTTTTCAAACTTCTCACTGTTCTGTCCATAATAACCCCCCAAATTCCTTCATAGTCTACAGATTGAATGGTGTATAGCTGACCTACCTGTTTGAAAATGTATTGACGATGGTACTTTATATGTCCGATCCTGAGGTGTTTACATGTATCTACATTGAGTTTCATAAGACATGTTGCTGTCCAGTCACAGATCGCGTTGAGATCTATCGGAATATATTCTACGTCTTCTGTTTCTCCATTGTTGATTGTTTTGTAGATTTTTGAGTCACCCGCAAAAAAAGTTTTGAGGTACTGGATAATGTGTCGGGGAAGTCATTTATGTAGATAAAAACGTACCGGTCCTAGTACGCTCCCCTGGGGGACCCCACTTGTGATATGTACATGTACTATATTGGACGCTGAACCATTCATGACCACCATTTGATCTAATTATGGGTTTCTCTTTGTTCACCAAATCTTGAGAGTTTGTGTAGCAGCCTTCTGTGTGACACTTTATCAAAAGCCTTGCTGTAGTCTAGATAAATAGCATCAGTTATCTCCCCTTTATCACTTCTAGTAATTTAGTAGTGCAGGTTTATATGTAAAGACGGAAAAAGTAACGCACTTTTTGTGGTAAATTTCGCAAAAATCATCGGAGATATTTCATTCGAGTTAAGTTTAACAGTTAACTGCACCTCTTTTATATGAAACAGTTTATGAGAAAAAATGACATTGAAACACTAGACGGCGGCGGTGTCTGGAATGACGTCACCCATCCCCTATTCTAGTGTCTATTCTTGACCGCGTGTGTCCTTCGTGGGTGAAGATCATTGCCCTTACTCTTCTCACCATATAAAGCTCATCAACCTATTTATTCTTTGAACCAGGATGCCATTCTTTTCCACCAAAAATGCCGTGTCAGTTTGGTGACGTTTTTTTGGGCGTCGGCGTGTTTTCTAACCCGCCTGTTTTAAGTCCGTCCCACAAATTCCCAATGGTGAGAAATATATGTACTGTATGGTGACCAATCAAGTACTGGAACATTGTTTTGTGGTAAAAAAAAAAAAAAAGCACGACACCCCCCTGCTAAATGTAGCCTGGCATTGTCTTGCCATGAGGTTATATGATTCCGCTGCATGACGGATAGGGGGAATGGCGATCGGCTGGAGGACCTGATCCGCGGTATGTAACGGCTATGAGATTGACATGAATGACAACGAAGTGAGATTTAACACCAGTAGAAATTCCTCCCCAAACCAAAACAGGCCTTCAAATCGTTCACCGCGACGTCAGTAGACACGTTGGCGGCCATCGGATTGGAAAAGCGTAAACCGAGACTCGTCAGTAAACAGGTCACGACTCTAAACGGAAAACGGTCCCTGGGGTGAGGCATGCGTATTGTTCCGTCTTGACGTTACGACGTTACGCTAATATATCCACGTTTGGGACGGTCCGTTAATCGTCCAGTGTGCATAAGACGACTGACAAAACGGGCAGTAGTTCGTGCATGAACACGTAACTGCTGGACGACGTGACGTTGTGATGGAGCTTGTACATTAGAGCAATACCCCAACCTCTCTCAGCGCCATACGTTGGAACATTTTGGTTTTTACTGGTTTTGGATCGTCAGAAAACGTGAACGTTATTTACACGTTGACTCGTACAAAATATCACCAATACCCATATGCATTATGCTGCAGCTGTCACAACTTTAAAACAGAAAGGGATTTAAGGACACGTGAAGTTACACGAAGAAATATGACTACCGTGCAAAGACAATACAAACCTTTTGTTGAATCATCTGCACCAAACTGACGTCTGTCTGTCTGCAAAACGGCAGACCGCGGTAACGACCGCTCGGAAAAACCGCCATGTACGGTTATTTCACAGGTGTATTTTCATTGTTCCTGGAGAGAGACCGCGAGGACTTCACTTTGTCGTCCTGCATTTTCCCAAACTATCAAAAACCGCATAAAGTATCCCAATTAAATATGTAGAGCTCTAACAAAGTCCCATCCTGACACAACGTCATCGTAACAACCCTTTGTTAAAAGGACGATAAACATAATCAAACCAAAACCAAACTGTAAACCAGATTCTATATTTTTTTTTAAAGGTGACGGGATGCTTTGAGTCTGAAGACGTTGGTGCGAACGCTTTGGGAACTGCTGCGTAATTGACGGGACCGTTTTGTTAGCGGAAGTCTGATGGTACGAGATGGTCTTCGTGGTGTAGTGGAACTGGACTAATTCGATGATTGGCGACCAGGTAGTTGCGTTCGGAGGGTCCCGGGTATTCCCGCTCCTGTTACAGTGGATTTTACCATTCATGATGTTCTAGTGACTAGGAATTTGAATGAGCTGCGTTATCGAGACGAAATTTTGACGACGGTGGTATTCCTGTTGTTACAGCGTCATCGCGCTGGAGCTAATTTTCAACAAGATTATGCACCAGCGCATTCCAGTCGCGCCTGCATGAAAAACAATGTTCATGATTTGCCATCTAACACGACATGTCACCCAAAGGGCACGCTTTAGATAATCAAAATAAGGCATCTATAATACTATATAACCGAATCGTTGACCGAGGAAGGTAACATGTTCTCCGCTCAACTTCTCAATCGACTGACAATTTCAATGCAACGACGCTGCAACACTGATTTCGGCACAAGCTTAGGTCATACACTGGACTGAATTTGTGACTTAGGAAACTCGACTAACTCTTGGTTTATGTATAAGAAAACTATAGCAGCCATTAAGTAAAGACTGTAAGGAAGGACTTGTACCGGCGAACTAGAAATGTTGCACTGCACGAAGAGAGATTTCAACAAAGACAAGACACCAGATTAAGACTCTGTTGCTGTCGAAAGGAATACTCAAGTTTTCTTTATCTCGATATCTGCCAAACGACAATGTGGAGAACAACGTCGTCCAAACCTCAAGCATTATCAGCCAATTGATTAGAGAAGCTAAAGAGAATAAATACTACTGCATTGAAACATATTTTATTGACACTGAATAGTCGAAGGGGTTGGGCACAAGTTCTTACAACTTACTAGGCCCTATCCCATACAACTTGACAGTGGCATGATCAGACAGTACAGACGCTTGTGGATCCGTACCATAAAAATTGAACGAGGTATAGTAGCTCTGGAATATTACCACAATACACATCACACCCTGAAGATAGCAATGAGTTAATTCGGACGCATAATTTTGCGGTTCAAAGTTTTGGAGAGCTCTACAATATGAAAAGTCTTTGAAAAAGGGAGCGACAGAGTAAACAATTCAACAATAATTTCGTCCAGGGAATGAGTATCACCATCAAGGAAGTAGCCAGAGAAACATGAAGACCTCGAATTGAGTATTTCATCTATCAACAAGACAGCAATGGCGTCATGGACAACATGACAATCACTACAACGACGCATGTCCAGGCGGATGTCGTCACGCTGGGGGAGGTTGTGATATGGGCGTAGATGCAATTCAAACATCGCACATCACGATGTAAATTTTTACAGAATGGTAGGCTAACTCGGCAGTACATGTCCAGCATGGAGAAATACCATTCATCCCTGGAAATTACATCAAGTGTCCACAGGAAAGATTTTATAACGAAATCGGCGACAACTAACATGGACTAATGTACTAGTATGACTTATGATATGAATATATGGACAATGATCTGAATATAGAGGCAACTATGTATGCGTTCAGAATGAATAAAGAAGCTAAACTAAGTTAGAACCAATGAAAACACAGAACTAAGTGTACCCGTGGATGGATAGGTTTCACAAGCCAATACGTCCAGGGAAGTACACGATATCGGTATACCAAAATGGCATTCTGGTAGGGCTAACATGGCTGCTGCGGTTGTATAAGATATCAATGTAAACAGTGGGAAGCCTCATGGAGCGGTAAATGGGTACATGAGGAAGTGACCTGAGGTGCTATCAAGCTTCATATCGGTCCTCGTGATCGGTAGAACTACAACTACGGTGGAGATCAGTAGTTGAGTAGTTTTTAGTAGCGGAATGATGTTGATGTCGCTAGGGGATTCCAAAGTTATAAAGTTCAGCAAAACATGACACATCCAAGAAGTGTTCAGGGAGTATTGTGGTGGGGAAAGGTTATAATATAGTGGAGTTGAGGGATTTCATCGGGAATACATGTGTCACACGTCAAGGAATGCGCTCTCTCCATTTTCGGCACCGTGAGAAGGCCGTGGACGGCAAAGAAAAATAAATCAGAAGAGTTGATGAGGAAAGAGGAAGAGAAACTCTGTGAAACTCGGCAAGCAGTAAGCTGGGACCAAGTGGAACCTCCCGGAGAGGAATATGACATGGGCTTCAGCCTTTAATAGTTCTATTAGGTCTGGCAGTAGATCCCTGCTGTAAACTATGTGGATTAGGGTAGACCTAGACAGGAAGATTCTGGCCCAAAGCCTGATATTGTATTATAGTGAGAACAAGCCAGACCGTCATCACCAAAATCTAATTATAATCGTACTGGGAGAAGAAAGACTGCGAGAGTAATCTCAGCTAAGTATGATAATGTTGTTTGAAAAACGCACGTTTCCATTGGAGGTTGGTTGAACATGTTTCCCTGTACAATCGCTTTTGCAAATGGTTCCCGTTGACTGTGGTATCTTTAAATTCAAAACTATAGCTATCAAACGATCGGGAGCAGTTGTTAAAGCGCGTCATGCCGACTATGACGCCGACGAAAAGAACCGTTATTTAATGCTGATATAGACGAGTATTAGTGTGGCCACCACTACTAGCCCACCAGCCGCAGGATGTTGCAAATTAGTCTCAAAACACCAGAAGTGGGCTGGTTACCAACTGATGACGTGATAGGAGGTTTGTGTCCAGACTAATGTAGTATACAGCGTATATTGACTTAAACCTCTGCAAATCATATACTAAGCATAAACTTGCACCTCTTGCACGTATTAATATGTCACAATGATGAACCATGGGATCGTTTCCTTCTGACGTTGCGGGGGAAATGTTCCCTTTAACATACATTGTAGGTAGAGAGCTGGACTACTAGCAACAATTCACAGTCTCTGATGTCAAACTCCTAACGTGGGTACTTCTAAAAACTATTCTGGGTTACGAACAAACTGACAAACACTTCAATATAATTTGACTTGCATTGTTCAGTAAAAAAAATAAAAAAATGAAGAAGGTGGGATGCAACTTGTACTTTAACAATATTTAAAATAGTCCGGCATGTCAGCATACATATGTACGTAGGACTTGGTCAGCCATTCAGCGCATTCATTATACGACCATATCATTTCGACAAAATACGTAGAATCAGGAAGTATTTCCTTTTTTGGTGAAATATTCTATCATAATTATCTATCATTTAAGTACCTTGATAACAGACGGAGTATCTTTCTTACTCATGAAAAACAAAGTCCATGGTATGTAGTCGTAGATTATCTAGGCCAAGGTCAGGGGTCGTACCAGCTGACACTGGATATAGTGGCGACCCAACGACAATTTGTTAAATTTTATGAAAACCCGTTACACAAAATCTAAACTTGGACGTGACTTACACTTCAGGGGAGTACGTGTCCTTAATGGACCCCGTACGTTACCTGGCACACCTACGACATTCCTTGATTTACCCGAATGATCTGCATTTTACGCGGGTCACAAACTGTGCCAAATGAAGTTGTCATGAAGCTAGCTAGTTTTACTGGGTTTCTAGCACTGTTACATCTACTTGGATAATAATGTTTGGCATAGAAACTGCACGGTATCATTAGGTTGGTATCAATCTATAATGTTAATTTATGAACTGAATCTGTAGTTACTACTGCTTGTCAGATTAATCTACATACTTTAGTTGTCTGGTTTCGAATACGTCAATATATGTTTTTCCTCGTTTTTGAACGTTATGTAACGAAATGCCTTTGTGCAGGAGGAAATTTCATTTAAAACCTCTCATATAACTCAAACAACACTTATGCAAGCAAAAAGGATAATAAAGGTAACACAGGTAAATTAAATGTCAAAAAGGAACAACCGGAAAAGGTGCGATAAAACTAAAACCCTGTCTCGAGGTAACAAATCAGTACTTCCGCAGTGATTCCTTTGAAACGAATTTTCATATTGTTTATGTGGTAAAAAGACAGATGGAATGTCGACACATTCAATCACGGAGCTTTATGCTTTGAACGGGTTGTCCCTTACAATGTCATGTTATCAGCTTTCACGTGTAAGCAAATTGTTACGGTGTGAAGTTATGAAAAATAAAGACAAATACAAACAGAACTTTTTATTAACTTTTTGAACATTTTAAACGATATGTATTTTCATTTTAACTGTTTCAATATATTTTATAGACCACTTGGTTCAAAGAAAGTATAATTGATTTTAACTGATAACTAATGTCTACATGTGATACGCCTCAGTGACAATATTTCGTTCTGGTCAAATCTGAACCATATCAATAGTGTTTGATATTTTTTATTACCTTATAATAATATCCTCCTGCTGACCTTAAGCTAGTGACATAAATACATGTACAAGTAACTTTGAATAGAAGGTCAACTTTAAATGCTAAGGCCCATGATCATGATATTTGGCCAGTAGGTACCTAGGATGGTATCTTCAGAACCGTTTAAGTGATGTTAAAATGTTTTGTGTTCTAGTTACCAAATTTGGTCCTAAGTTACCTATATGTCAGTTTCATGTAACATTGATGTATAAGCTTTAAGTTATCTGTCATCTTACAATGGTACATATTTATGTAATATTTGATAATTAATGACACTTGCTACACCCAGCAAAACCTTTCATAGATATAAATTGAAATATGAATAGTTAGAAAATAGATTCGGCCGAGTCAGGTCTCTGACACGAGAAGTTACGCTCGGACTACCGGTGTACTCCTCTAAGATATTATATATACTATCTGTATAACATTTTGTTATATTGTACTTAATCTGTGGAATTCCTGAATACAAATTAATCAATTGGAACAACAACAAGCATCTCTGGGTCATTCATTCGACCATCCGACAACCCAGACGATTTTATTAACATTTTTCAAAACAATCGTCGTTACAAAATGAACTCATTGCATGTAACTTTCCGTTGAAAATGTACATAGCCTACATGAGAATGGATCAATAAATAATACGAAGAAAATGAATATCAAACATATTTTTTTATGAAAAATTAAAAAGAAACTATTTAAAAACCGTATTCAAACCATTATTTTTCAAAAGAATATGACATTTCCAAGCATTCCTTAAATCTGCTGGACGGGAATACCCATGAGCCGTAAGGGTATTCCAGAATTGTCGATTCCAATATTCCACCTTCCCCGTATAAAATAATTTGTTGTTTACTGGGACCACACCCATTTTATTGGCAACAATAGCCAAGAATACGTCATCAAAAACAATATGTTTCGTAAACTGACTTGCAAACATAAAATCCCGAACGAAATTAATTGACATCACTATACTTCCGGCGCTGACGAATGGTGGGTAAATGTCATACGGGTAATCTGTTGATGATATATACCACTTACTACTTTTAGATCTAAACGGAAACGACCGCGGATTTACCCATCCCATGTATAGAGATTCATTACTGTTTCCGGTCATCTCTAGTTGCTGTAGTAACAGATCTGTGGCTACGTAATAATCGTCATCAACCAACATGACGTAATCACATTCTGTACACGAGTTCCCGGCCCAGATTAAAGCACCACGTAACTTCCACGTGTTCATGTAGTAGCTATCCTCGTAGTCTATAAGTAGTATATCCTTGTGTGTCTTTATTTCTTGTTCAACATCATTATGATACACCTTTGTCCTTCCCAATACAAACACTCGTTTTATCCCGAATACACTCTCCTCATTTGCCCACGTGTCACGAATAGCTTGTCGAGCTCTTTTGTTTTTTGGTGCTGATTTGATAACAAACAACAATTTTGTACTGTTTGTACACGTCACTTCCGGTTTTGTGATAAACATATATGGATACACATTGATCATTTTGGGCGTTGTATACTGCGATCCTTCTCGATGATTCCTCACAAATTTCCTCATGTCGATATTCAGTGGATATGAAGTATAGTTTGGGTTATTATAAAATGGTATCGCCACTTTCACCTGTTGCTCGATCTGTAGTTCCGATCGCCATCTTGGGTTTTCTAACGAGTACAAGGTCGAATTGAACCCTGATAACGCCTCTGCGGCTATACATCCATTTGGCTGAACACTTGGTCCAATATTTAAATAAAACATCGTTAAAATGAGAACAGATACAACGGAAAGTAACGACAATGCCATTAGAATTTGCTTCGGAAAACTCATCATCATGTGGTCAAAAGGCCTAGGTCTGCCTGAAAACGCCCCTCCCTGCCAACATGGCGTTCGGTCAAAGATCTGTTAACAGGGAGCTGATAATGATAACCGATGGCCCTGGTAAGCCACACTGGAGATAAGTGACTGATAAGACTCGAGGTCGTTAGTATCGCTTGCTAAAGCACGGTTCTTGCAAATTATAAATCCCTATATTTATCTATCGTTCAGTTTATCGTACTGGCTCGTGACAAATGTGAGTTTGAATGAATAGTTTATAACGTTAAGGAATTTATTTGCATATTTTTTTTTTCATCATACTTCTAGCAGGTGTTTCGATACATGTGCTAACCATGCTTTGAATGTGATAATGTTATGTTACAATCTTAACAGGAGGGGGCAAATATACAGCGAGCCAATCTCCCAAAACTAACAAGGCGTACACATTCATGCATCTGCTCTTTATCATAAACGCATGGGTCGTACAATATTACGTCCTATCTTCATTAACGCTGTATGTATTGGAAACACATTTTATTTTTGAAAATCCATTTTGCTCTGACTCGTGTCACTTACTTTGTGGATTAACGCTGTGCATACCAGATTTTCGTTTTATATTCATGTGGGTAACCCGACAAAAAATTGTTATAAATATAAAGCTAATAATAGGCAAACGTATATTAAATGTACATATTGCATCTCTTGCACCAAAACTAACATTTTATATCAATATGAGGACGTCGGTGACTCGGGAAATTACCAGGAAGAATCGCAGCATACCATCAAAACCGGAAGTTAAATGTACAAACAGTCGAACCAAACAACAAGATAATTCTGTCAAATATATTGTTTTGATGGCGTGTTTTTTGGCCATTGTTTCCAAAAAGCTGGCCATTGCGACGATAAACAACACATTGTTTGATATAGGGCCGTGGCTAACGCGTATTTGTTTAACGAACATATTTTCCCAGTAATATTTTGTAGATTTGTGAGAGAACCGGAAATGAGATTTTGTCTGTGGATATAAAGGCAAAATCGGATCATGAAACCATGAATGAGACTTTCTGCACACAGTTCAACACAGCGTGGAATATGTTTGAACGGAACTTTGTTATATATCTTAAAACATATTAAAAAGATGCATTTCAATCCTTATTTTTGCGTTTAAAACAACTAAGAACATTCTATTTTATCTTGCGGTGAGTTGTTTTTTCTAAATTGTGGAAACACCGTTTTCGTGAGAACGAGGTTTTTAGTTCAATGGTACAAGTTCCGTCGGGTATTAAACATCGTGCGGATTCCACTCGGGAATGTCCGTCAGAATGAAACGTCATGATTGATTCCCGATCAATCTAACAGTATGACGGAAAGACTTGAAAAGTTACCGACTGGAAAGAATTCACGTGCAATAGTGAAAATTATGTCATTTTTAGATAAGTCATTGGCACAGCTATTCAACCGTAAAATCGTTTTCATTTTAATTACTGACCTGTTGGATCATGAAAGTTGTTTTGTTTAGGACATCTCTTTTGATGGCCATGAAAGTCATTGTAAACTGATCGTTTGCAATTCGTTTTGAATCTGAATTTAAAATATCAAAACGCAAATGTACACAAGCAGTTTTTGAAAATGCTTTATAATATAATTCGTCAATTTGAAGTGTTAAAATATGAATTAGAATCTGTAATTGTTTTTGAAAATGCTACGTAATATGTTTTTTGAAGTTGAAGTGTTAATATACATGAATTAGTATCTGTAATTGTTTAACCTTTGGTCTCTGGCAAACACCCTGTACACTAACCCCTCCACACTCCCCTACACCTCCCTACCCTCCTGATATATAATGTATGGTATAGGCTCACAACGATTCAGCATTGGTATTTATCTGATGAAAATAGTACTAAAACTTCTATGTCTCTTTTATCTTTGTCTTTCTTTTTCTCAGTCAGCCACACTATCCCACATCCTCTTTTCAGTTAATTCCAGTCAATTTATTGTAGATTGGCTTTTCTATGTGTATGACATGCAAGTTATATTTGTGAACCAAATTTGGCATTAATGATAAACTGATTATTAAAAAAAAAAAAAAATACGTGCGAAATTTTGGTGAGATACATCTGGAAATGTAATACGAGAGGAAACCGGAGTACGCGGAGATAACCCGTGTAGTCGTGACTCAAAGCCTTTTCACGTCCGATCAGGGATATGTTCAAATCAACATAAGTCGAAAATGACAAAGTTTGCGATGGGCCATAACACAACACAACCAAGTAATTGGTAAGTGCAGAATGTAAAATACATCAAACTTTTTCAATACACAGGGATCTGAGAATTTGTTACAGCTATATTTGGACCTAAACGAAGGTGCTCAGAGTAATTATGTGTCCCAAACAAAGTTTGGGGACATATTGTTTCTATTCCGTTTCTTGTTTGTTTTTTTTTTTTTTTATTATTATTGTTCTTATTTCTTCCACTTTCTTCCGCCGACGAGGTTTCCGACATGTTTCTCGAAAACCGTATGGCGAAATTCAACGAAACTTTACATGAGTGTTCGTGTATGACAAGCGGTGCGCAAGAGTATTTTCGTTTTTCGATCGGTCATCCGACTGGTCAGCTGGACAGTGGCCGCTGATTGGTCGAAATTTAGACATTGTCCGGTTTTGATGAAATTTGGTATATAGGTGTAGTATGGCACTACCAAAACAACTGCGGTGTTTGTTTTGTGGTTAAAAAAATGGCTGCCATTTCCTGACCTCTGAGAGGTCGAAATTTAAATATTGTCGGATTTCGATCAAATTTGGTATGCTCGGCCTCCATTTCTTGTCCTTTGATTGGTCGAAATTTGAATATTGTCCAATTTTGATCAAATTTGATCACTCGGCCCCCATTTCCTGGCCTCTGATTGGTCGAAATTTAAATATTGTAAAATTTTGATCTAGTTTAGTATGTAGGTGAATCATAGGACAATGATCACTTCCATAGCTTAGATTTCACATTTCAACAAAATGGCCGCCGTTTTTTCCTCTGATTGGTCAAAAGTTAAATACTGTCTGATTTGAATTAAATTTGGTGCATAGGTGTAGTAAGGCACTACGAATACAACTGCGGTGTTTGTTTTGTGATTGTACAAAATAGCTGCCAATTATTGGCCTCTGATTGGTCGAAATTTAGATATTGTTCGATTTTTATGAAAATTGGTATATAAGGGGACTGCGAATAAAACGGCATATAATTTGTTACTATAGCAACCACACAGAGGATTCTGGTTGGTCAAAATTTAGATATTGTTCGATTTTGATGACAATTGGTATATAGGGGTATTAGGGGACTGCGAATTCAATCGCATAGGTTTCGTTACCATAGCAACCACATAGACATTTCTGATTGGTCGCAATTCAGATATTGTGCGATGACACTTAAAGAGGTATGGCGGAAAACTGCCCGTATTTCCCTAAGTCGCCTTCTATGAAAACGGGGAAAAAATTAAGGAGAAAAACATTTCGTGTAGCAAAAATGCATACAAAAGATACAAAACCAATTGAATATGAATTTTTAAACTGCTGAGAAATTAGGTATTGCTAATATGATACTGCAAATATAGCCATATACACTATATTTATGAGAGTGATGGGGTTTCCCGGACTTAAAAAAATATTTTCAACACTTTCCCATCCGAGGACCAACTTTTGAATAAACTTTTTGTGACCGTAATGTAATATGCAAAAACAAATCGTATTACGGAAAAGTGGTCCTCCTTTGGGAAAGTGCTCAAAATAATGAAAATCAGGGGTGATCAAGTTTCTCTAAATTGCGACCGGTGTTTCTCGGGTTAAATAAGTTTGTAATTGCCTATATCTATATGTTCTATGTAGCCGAATGTATAACGTAGTTTACTTGCGACTAGAAAGTATACGGTGCAGGTTCGAATCCTCCTTCAGTGTTTTTTTTTTTAAATATTTAGGCATGTGATCATTTTCCTTAATAAGGCAATGGTGTTTTTTAAAATCGATGGAAGATTTTGTTTACATTTTAATAACATACCTATTGATTTATCAGTTTTGTTAGTAACAATTTCTTTACTATTTAGTGCGACATACTTCTATCGAAGCATGTCAACAAATCCCTGTTCACGTGTACAGTACAGCTACGCTTTGTAGGTAAGACACTATTTTTGATGAAATTTATGAATTGTTTTACCCTCCAACTGGCAATAGTAATTATATCAAGTGCTTAAACACCAACAAATATTGCCGAAATACCAAATATGTGGTCTGTTTACAATAATCTATTCTTTGACGCGGGATTCCGATATTGCTACCTGTATAAAAAATACCCGAGGACGCGTCATAACAGTGCACTGTTGGATGCGCGCACTAGCGTGACATAGCTTTGGGGAAATAGGCATAGCAACCCGCCATATCTCTTTAGTATGTATATTGTAAGTGTAGTATGGCATTGCGAACCTTTTCTGATGTATCTTTGCGACTATGGGGGCATTTTGGGGGACATCTGTAATGGTCCCCCATTACAATTAGTACTTGTTTTACATGTTTTAGGGGTTAAGATCGACTTTCGGTAAAAATGACACCCCATTGATCATATATACGAGAAAGGAGGAAAACTCTCGTTGTCGAAAAGTCGACCCCACAAAACAACATTTCTAGTTAATCTACGGAAAAATGCTTAGTACCCGTTGGAAAGATGGATAATTTTTAAAAACCTCCTATATGCACGTAAAATGTATTCTCCTTCCGCGGACATGATCTCCGTTTCCTCCAAAAACACACGCCATTTCAGAGTTTCAAAGTTTTTCGCAGTCATCGTGCCACATTTTTGTATATTTATGAGGTTGACGTCAGCCTGGTTTAGCGAAACAAGATGCCCAATGGGCCTGAATCGCTCACCTGGTATTACTTTCACACGTGTAATCTTAAAAGTGGAGTAAAATACAGTTACAGGCAGAATATAAGTGTTTGATTCATAAGAACCTATTAAAAAAATATAAACATATGACGCCTGTGACCTAGAATGTCGAACAAGAACATTAGGTTGAACAAAGCTTATAGTCTTCCAACCCAGCATGCTTCTGGGATTATATCAGTACCCTGGACCTTTTGGTTATACAGAACAAGTCATTTAAAGATTTAAACATATTTGACCCCTGTGACCTTGAATATATGTCAAGGTCATTCATTTGAACAAACTTGGTAGTCCTTCATCCAGAATGTTACTGGCCAAATATCGTGATTCTAGGCCTCTTCGTTATTCAGAAGAAGTTGTTTCTAATTTTTAACATATTTGACCCCTGTGACCTTGAAAAAGGGTGAAGGTCATTTATTTGAACAAACTTTGTAGCCCTTCATTCCAGTTTGCTTCTGGCCAAATAGCATCATCCTAGGCCTCTTGGTTATTGAATGCCGCGCGGCAGTGGCTATTGACACCTGGGCACTAGGGTGGTAATACCATTCCATATAAACACATATGCAAAAGATACGAGGAAGGAATATCTTTAAAATATGTTTAATTCACTAAAGCTAAAAACTGTTGTTTCGAAATAAATAAGTCATGTTTATCTCAGCAGCCAGCACTGTCGATTTATAACACAGAGCAGCCTTCTGGTAAAAAAAAAAAATCCTTGGTCAAAGGTTGACACACCCTTTTTAACTTTTGAAGTCAGAATTAGAGTGGCCCAAAATTACATTGAATATTTTAATTTATTAAAAAAATACTTGTATATGCATTCCTGAAGTATCCATGTTTTCACTATAAACGAGAAAAATGTAAGAAAATGCTTCAAAAAGAATGATTTCATGTATTTTCATTGGATATTTTACAATGATACAAGTCAAGCCAGATTATCTGAGTGAGAACTTGAAGGTGTTTTGAATGGTGTACAAGTAAAATCTCACTTGCTTTACATGCTTTTTTCCAACTTCAGTCAGCCTTGTTGACTTTGTGCTTAGTTATGATTTATTCAATGGAAATATATAGCATTAATCTGGAGATTTGACACATTTTCTTACATTGTTCTCGATAAAAGTGAATACACGGGTACTTCAGGAATGCATGTATAGGTAATTTTTTTCATTAATTTCATTATTCATTGAAATGTTTAATGGCGTTGACATAACGTCCGGAAACGAAAGTAAAAACACTGCCCTCTGGTGATGGTAATTTTAAAGTACTGTGTTTGACCAGACTCTTGAATTACAAGTGATCAATCGTCTGGTTAAACGAGACTACCATAAAACGCGTCTATTCGTATGGATCGAATTTACCACATATTTAAAAGGTGTAATGTATAAAGTATCAGCAGCTTAACATAATGCAATCAAATATCAAATCGTTAATCAAAGGTTTATTCCTTAACAGTTCCGAAAAATTCTATAGAATGTTGCGTTATAATAATTGTCTCTTTAATCATTCTTATTTTTATTGTGAAAATATTTCAATATCTGTTGCAGTATCGTCGATTAAAAGTATGTTATAATTTTTTGTAAATTGATACAGACTTGAACCACACAGTACCCGAACCCTATAAATACACGTATTCATTGTTAGAACTGGCAAGTGCGTGCATGTTACCCGCACTGGCTATTCTTGTACAGTCAAAAGAAATCTGATTGCATAAAATAGAATGACATATTGAACACAGTCGAAGGGTACAACAGGACACATACACTGGGGGTTTAACCTGATTGGAATCCACGCCTACATCGCAGAGGACAAAACGTTTAAGACAGGAAGTGACGTCTGTGGTGTACAGTTATAAGGAAATGCGATGTTGCAAATGAAAGAACAATACGACGTTCTTTCGTCTTAATTTAAGCAACAGTATACAATAAAAAAAAATATCAAATGGCTATCTCCGGTCGAAGAATTGTGACATTTGGACTGATCATGACAGCTGTGTATATTTTGATTAACGTCTGTGGTGTGTCAAAGCGTGTTAAAGACCCATCCGACCCAAGATGCATTGCGAAAGGAAGTGCAACATTTGAGGAATTAGATTCAATGCAACATTTCTCACTTGATTATCCATCAGGATACATTTACTCGAAAGAAAATACAAAATGGCTTGAAATCTTGGAAAAAAGTTTGTACCAGCCCGGAAAAGAAAGTTTAAATGTGTTTAACGAAACCTACCCTTTAAACATGAACATGCGAGAGCTGGTGAATACGTACAAGAATGGAGGATACGTGAGCCCCCTCAAGGTAAACGAGTATCCGTTCCGTTTTTTATGGAACCCCACCAAAGTGTGTGAAAACGGACAAAAAGTCTTTCTTTTATTTATCATCAAATCCGCCATACGCCATTTTGACAGACGACAAGCAATTCGCCAGACTTGGGCCAATCAGGAGCTTTATAATAGATTTGGAATTCGACGGCTATTTCTGACAGGTATAATGCGTGGACAGACTCGGTTTCACGAGTCTCTAAGGGATGAGATAATTTACTACGGTGATACTCTTCAAATTGATTTCGTTGATATGTATTATAATAACACATGGAAAACACGTGGGGGAATTAAATGGGCGGTCAACGAGTGCAAACAAGCGGAGTATGTCATGTTGGTAGATGATGATTTCTATGTTGCTTCAGATCTCCTTGTCCAACTGTTACACACGGCCGGCAGATCACGGGATTTCTACATGGGATGGATGAACGGGAATCCGTTCCCAGTCCGCAATATGCGAGATAAATGGTTTGTCTCCAAACGGGATTTTCCATACCCAGTGTATCCCGATTTTATCAACGCTGGAGCAATTGTAATGTCGATGGATTTCGTTGTGGACCTCCATATTGCTAGTCAGTACACGAATCACTTTAAGTTTGATGATGTTTTCGTTGGAATAGTGGCTTCCAAGCTCAAGGTCACACCTGTCTCGTGCAATATCTTTACTATGGTCAAAATCTTATTCACGGCCGACCGTTTCTGGAAAACGCTTGTATCACATGAATACAAACCGAAAGAACTGTTGCAAGCATGGAAATGTCACGTGCTTATTAGTAAACATGGATTGGACAGTAGCATCGATACGTCCTAGTTTAGTGTTCAAATACTATATTGCTGTTAATTCTGGTTTTCAGTGGGGACTTTAAGATACGGAATCCGACAATCCAGTTCACTTGCGTTCCGGATCCGACATGTTATATAAATTGATTCTAAAGGACAAACATTTCACCAATTATACGATAAAGACACCTGATTACGTATACATAGGTAACACAAGTTATCTATGTGTTCGTTAACATTCAATGTAGAGATTGTATACAGTAAGTAGATTTAAATTGCTGAAACGTAAGCCTGTGCACAATAGGATATAATATCATGTGTGTGACGAATACGTAACGAAATATAAAACCCTGTATCAGGAACCTACGTGGGGCAATCACCAGATACTGGCCGTTGCTAGGTCGGTGTTTTTTCTCTGAGAACTCAGGCTTTTCTCCACCACCAAAACCTGGCACGTTCTGAATTCACCATAGCTGTTAATAGGACGTAAAACACAAAGAAAACTTAGTTGATAGTTTTTTTTGGTATAAAAGTGATTGTAAGCCTTTATTTTTGTTTCACAATTGTAACTAATACTATTATTCATATGTTGTAAAGCGCTTTAGAGTTATTTTACAAATTATATAGGGCGCTATGTAAATGTTGTATATTATTATTATTATTATTATTATTATTATAGTTTCACTAACGTTCCTTAACTAAAATATTCTTTCACTAAGTTTTTTTCCTCATTGGAATGCATTATTGGAGTTAACGAAAAATCTAAAGACAAGACACTCATGCTACCAGAATTGGCTTGGATGTCCAGCCCCAACCATGGAGGCTTACTCCATTGGTCTGATATGAAATATTTTTGATTCCATCGTATAACCATATGTATATGATTTTTATGCATGAAGAGACGAATACTTTAATGCTTCCAGGATTGGCTCGGTGGTCCAGACCTGACCCTGGGGATTATTCCTGGGTCATAACATGGAAATGGTTTTGATACCCACCTCATAACCATATAAGTCAATATCTGACCAAAGTGCCCTTACGACGTCGCAAATGAAAATGGAGAAAAAAGGAAATTCCGCAATTGCGCCATTCTGAATAGCTTCATATTTGTCTTAAAAACTTCCAAACTTTCATACACCACTGTGACGTCCAATAGTAACACAAAGCAATATGTTTTGCCACTGATGTATTCCGTATTTCTTTCTCTTTAAAACAACATCAAAATTACAAAATCGAATGTTATATAACCTGAGGACCCCATTGTCAGATCTTGACTAACACACTGCTGGACATGAGTAAGCGAATGTACTATGTGTATACCTATCGTCTACCATGAATGTCTGTGGTGTTTTTTCCGCCCTGGGGATTTCGTACTTGTCACAGATTGTATTCTTGTACTCTTTTGGTAAACGTGTATGATATTTAACAGAATGTCGGCCTCTTTTATGAAGAGCATGGTTGTACAACCAGGTGTGACAAAAAGTGTGCGTGCATAGTTATATATATGCATTTGTTTACGACACCCTTCAAGCGCCAAATCATCTTTCCGACTACACAGAACCACAGGGACATGAGTATTTGTTACAGCTACATTTAGGCCTAAACTAAGGTGTTCAGAGTATCTTAACATGTTTTACATGTTTTATACACGGTTTATATGATCATTGGGGTGTCCTTTTTACCAAAAGCCGATCTTAACCTCTAAAACATGTAAAGTTACTCTGAACACCTTAGTTTAGGTCAAAATGTAGCTGTAACAAATTCTCAGGTCCCTGTGCACAGAACGACACGGTTTGCCATCTTAATTCTTCTTTCGAACATTTCTTCTACCCAGCGATTGAAAATATTCTTCCTGAAGACTCTCTGAATTACTCTAATGTCCATGGCTACGTGGTAACACTGAAATAGTGTTTGGTATATATGTAGTAATTTATTTCATTTTGACAGTGTTATATATGCAATGTAATGAACACCTACTTTGAGTGTCAACTGTTTGACAATGAAAGGCGTATTATGTTTCGAAATTTGAATGCCTTTTGTATAGAGTTAAATTTAGATCTTATTTTATTTGGCAGATCAGATCTTTCAAAGCTTTTGTGTTGTGCATAATTATCTACTTCATGTTTAGGCCCGTTATTAGTGTAACAATGTGAAACTATTGATGTTTTTATTAAAGGCTTTCATAAAAAGATTTTTAAATTAAATTAATTGTTGCGCTGCGTAGATCGTGCTGTTTGCGTACACATGTGCTGTGTATCTGCTACAAAGGACACCTAAAAATATTCATTCTTTCCACACACAATAACACAATGGAATCTCCTACCCATAGCAGCAGTACAATACACAACACTAGAGGACTTCAAGGCACACTTACCGTATGCAGCCCTTGAAGCCCTCGTCACACTCTAAAACTTACCCAGCTTTTATCTTTTATCTATACCTTGCACAAAAAATCACAAAAAAAGCACTAATCACTGTAAATAACCCCTTTTCACGCCTCTGCAATAGGACCCCGAGGGCATAAACGTCACAATTGACGGAGCCCCCGTAACATAAAGAAGAAGTACGATCACTGTGCCGTTTACCTGTGTTGTTTTTGTACACTGTTGTCACTTGTCTTACTTTGTTACCTCCATATAAGGTAATTGTTCTAAATATAGGTGTTACCTCGTTTTGATTTCAAGATTTTCAAGATTTTTTTTATTACGCTCTGACACACAAAGTGTGTAACAAGAGGTCAAACAAAATAACATCAATCAAAATAAAACATGACAGAGAGAGTAGATTACACATAGATAGATTCAGCAATATTTCTTAGATAGATTCAGCAATATTTCATAGAAAGATTCAGCATTATTTCATAGATTCAGCAATATTTCACATTGTTTGATGTACATATGTATCAGATGTATTGTTACAAAGTAACAGTAAGGTTATACATGAACAGATTCAACATTATTTTCTTACATGTGAAACAGTAAGTTTACGCATAATTATTTCATACATGTGAAACAGTAAGATTACACATCCTCATTTAATACATGTGAAACAGTAGTATTATACAAGGACAGATTTAGCATTATTTCACACATGTAGATTACATGTGAACAGATTCAGCATTAGTTCACACGAGTGAGAGTAGATTACACATGAACAGATTTATCAGCATTAGTCATATATGTATTGGATACTCAATTTTCACAGCAAATTATCTTCACTGCCATAATCATAATGCAAAGTATAGTATTTTTGACATACTGATTTATTTCAATTGTTATTTTTTTATAATTATTTGCAGTTTTACAAGAAATGTACTAGCCCTTTTGATTGATCGTTTGTTACATATTGTGAACATTCATTTCATTTTATCAACATTTGGATTGGTGTAATAATATTTTGGAATTCATTTTTCCCTAATCTGGCGTATGGATTCTTGTTGACATTTAAACAAATAATGAAATTCATCTCCTGTTTCATTTCTATTACACAAAGTACATTCTCTTTCCTCTCGAGGAATTCCTATCCAACGGCCAGTTTCCAGGGGCAGCGGAAAGTTTGACGAGCGAAATTTGCAAAACACAACACGATCCCTCTTGTTTAATTGAGTTAAGTAATTTTCAAAACCAAAATTAGATTTAAATAATAGATAATTTTGTCCTCTACTACTTTTTTCGATATCGGCATACCACTTTTGAATAAACTGGTCAGTAAGCTTTTGTGTGATAACATGTTTAAGTTTTTGTCGTTCTAGAGTAGTCACTTTTTGAGATGTCCAGATATATGTCAACCCTAGATCATTTAGTGTAGTTTTGATAAAATTTAGCCACTTCGAGTGAAATGCGCCCGTTTCGTGCATTGCATGTATAATATTATATAACTGACTCGATACTTTACCATTTTCTGTTATTAGTTTGTGCCAAAATAAAATCATTCTATTTTTAATAGTATTTTCTAAAGGAAAACGTCCCGATTCTCCATATACCGTATAATTAGGCGTAGATTTTCTTAAATTGAGAACTTTTTTTATAAATTTCAAATGTATCGTTTCCAAGAGGGTAATATTTTCGAATCCCCATATTTCTGACGCGTATAACAGTATAGGCAATATTAATGTATCAAAAAGTTCAAACTGTAGGTCTACTGGTAAATTGATATTTCTGATTTTCCTATATAAAGCAAATAATGCTTTCTGGGCTTGTTCAGCTAGTTTCTTTTTCGCCTTACCAAAGTTTCCAGTATAGTTAAACAATAACCCAAGGTACGGATAAGAATCTACAATTTCAATTTCCTCTCCGCAAAGCATAAATGTACTATTGATTTTCGATTTTCGTTTTGAAAAGACAACTATTTTAGATTTATTTGTATTAACATGTAATTTCCATATTTTACAATAATCGCCGAAGACATCTAAAGCTTTCTGTAGACCCTCGGGCGATTCTGCCAGTACAACAGTGTCATCCGCATATAACAAAATAAACAATTTTAGGTACATTCCAATACAATTTTGACTAAGATTATCAATATCTTTGAGACATTTCACCTCATTATTAGACAGGAACTCCTCTAGATCATTCAAGTAGATCGAAAATAAAAATGGCGATAAATTTTCCCCTTGTTTTAAACCGATATTGCTCGTGAAGAACTGAGTCTGCTCGTTTCCATTTTTTACACATGACTTAGTATCAGTATATAAGTTATAGATTACATTTAGTATTTTGCCATTGATATTGCTTCTCAGCATTTTTTCCCAAAGTCCAACCCTCCACACTGTATCAAAGGCTTTTTTAAAGTCAATGAATGAACAATATAACTTTTTATTATAGGAGAAATACATTGATATTAGTGTTTGCATTACAAATATATTTTCTGTAGTAGAATAACCTTTCCTAAAGCCAGCTTGGCTTCCATGAATAAGATTTATTTGATCAGATAATTGATTCAATCTATCATTTAGTATAGATGTAAAAAGTTTTCCCAAACACGATACTAAAGTTATTGCTCTATAGTTGTCAAGGTCATTAATGTCGCCCTTGTTTTTGTATATTGGTTTAATTAGCCCCACAGTCCATGACTTAGGTATTATACCAGTATCTAATATTGTATTAAATAATTTGACATATATATTTATAAAAGGCTCTAAAGAATATTTTATATGTTCATTCAGGATCTCATCGTTTCCACATGCTTTATTATTACTAAGATGTTTAACAGATTTCCTTATCTCTGTCTCAGTTATTGGACCATTTAAAACATGGTCATACATATTTTCATCTAATGTAGGTAACTGAAATTCTTCCACATCACTGTTATCAGTATTAAGATTTTTAAAATAATTGAAAATTTCATCTATTTTTTTATCTACTTTGATATTTTTCCTCGTACAATCTATTTTGTTCAAGATATCCCAAAACTTTTTAGGATCACTTTTTGAGGTTTTTCTTATTTCTCCCTCCATTTTTTCTTGGAAGTTTATATAACATTTTTTCATAGTATTACGATATTCTTTACCTTTCTTTTTCAACCTTTTCCTATTCAAATTATTTTTTATCATTTTATAGTGATGCTTAGCGATATTAAACTCGCGTCTTTTCTTGGCACATTCATGTGAAAACCATTGTTTAGTGTTTTTGTCATTATTACAAGGCGTGTATACATTCTTTTTAACACCAAAAACGGATTTACAAGTATCAGAGAAAATATTTCTTATTTCATGTACAACATCATCCATCTCAGATTGGTTTGATATATCATTCATCGTTTGCAGTAAACCTGCCAGTCTAACAGTTTCATTTCCTTCAGTATGGTTTGAAAATTCTTGCCTTTTGTTTGGCTTCCATTATACAAAATCGTTGCATTCCATGGTTTTGGAAGTGGTCAGTCCAGGTGACTTTGTTAAATGTTTTGGCGCGGTTTTTAGTATTCATTCTTAGACATCCGGAAGTTTGAAGTCTTGAAGTCTTTCTCCAGATCTGGTATATACACATATAGATGTGACAAAGTCTTATTCTGTAATTGTTTTTTGTTAAATTATTATATTAATGAGATTTTGGATGAAGTAGCATTAATTATATTGTGAAATTGACCTTTTTATATAATTATCAGAATCTTGATCTTACTTACACGTATATTCAATCAATACATAGATAACTCTTTTTAAAGTGATGTATATATGTTTTTTATCAACATGATGTAAACTGTGATTTACGTGTCCCTTTTACAGAGATAATAGAGTTTTCGATAGAGAACGGATACAGATACAGATCTGCATTCTGTGTAAACCCCGGCCCCGACCCATAGTTGGGGTAGGTATTTTAATATTGTATATGAAAATGTAAACAAGTGCTAATTGATAAGGATAATTGTATTCAATATAATTTGTAAGTAATTTGTGTAAGTAATTTCAACTATTGACAATGATGAAGTCAGTCACTGTAAAGTTAAAGTATTATCCCTATTTTGAATAACCTATTGTGTATGAACGTATCAATATGTATGCACTGAATGTACATGTAAGGAATTATAGGTAAGCTCTGTGTTTCATTATGTAATCAATTGTATTGTGTCTTTGTAGGGTTTTGATTATATTCCACATATTGTGGAAATAAACATGTGAACAAGAAATCTGCGTCGACCTTGATTTACATTCAACTTTACATCAGTGTTGTCATGTAATTGTAAATGTATGACGGGAGATGTAATAACTTGTGCCCAATCCCTTGTTCAAAATAATTGGCGTAACGCACAATGAATACGACACCATCAAAAGGATATAACTAATTGTATAAACATGACCTTCCTCAAAGCTCCATAGGTTACGCCCTCCTGTGTTCTGTATGTAAATCTGACCCCTTGGAATACATACTCAATTTTGAAAGAATATTTTAAATGTTCGAAGAAACACGACGATCTTCAAGGTTCACAGCGAAACTGGTAGGTTTTCGTTGAAAATAGAAATTAAAACTCGAGTTGTAGTTTTTTGGCATAAGCTCCAATTGGTCAAGCGATTAAGGCGTTTGACGGTCTGCTACCACTAGCCCTTCACCATTGGGTCGTCGGTTCGAGGTCTGCGTGGGGCATTCGCCAGCTACTGGCTGTAGGTTGGTGGGGTTTTTCCGGGAATGCCGGCTTGCCTCTACCACTAAAACCTGGCACGTTCTTAAATGACCGTAACTGTTAATATGACGCAAGACACGAACAAACAAACGATCTTAACTTGCAGTATGAGTATTTGTGTTAACTTGTTGTAACAATTGTAATGTGCTATGGCTTCTTGTTGCACACAGAAGTGTGGCCGAGTGCCTTAATAAAAAGTGAAATCTGAAATTTCGAATATGACACTAAGTCAGATTACCCCGGACAGAGACGTATGCGTCTCTGCTAAGGGATCAGTTTAGACAGGTGTCACTGTTTATCTTATGTAATCAAATCTTGTATAATTAACTTAATTAAAATATTCAAATACTAAAAATTTCTTTTCAATAAAAAAGAGAGTTGTTTAATGAGGCTCGTGTGTGTTCTTGTTTACTAGTTTAGTATTTTCGGATCATAATTGCTTAGACATTCTGCTGACGAACTATTGTATTCACCATGCGAGTTTTGTTAGTTAAGAAACGATTACGCTGTAGTTATAAATGTGTATGAGAGAGTTATATAGCATGGAGTTCCAACTAATGTTCTTACTTTTTTTGTTATAGGAGATCGAATTTCCCCCTCAACAATCTAGCCTAGCTCTGTCTAGACTGTAATATTTTAATAGTTTGTAATTTGAAATATTTACCTTTAGTATGGCATTGTCACTGTGTCGTTGATGATACTTTAATTACCATGCAGCACGAGACACAGTTCTTAGCGTATTAAAACATGACGGCTGTTGAAATATCGCTGGGCAGTGTGAGACTTGACAATGTAATTGTAAATTTACGTTCAAAAGAAAATATAAAAAAAATACTTTTATTACAACAAAAACAAAACGAAGGTCTGCAATATCGTACAACATGCACATCGGTTGAAATCACCAATGCTGGCAATATGGAAACAATTTTAACACTCATGTAATTTATCAGAAATATCGTCTGTTGCACTTCACTGATCAACAGGGGTTCGTTACAAATGTCTGAAATACACATATTCTATAGACCTACTGCCACATATGTTACAGACCTACTGATATGAGTTACTACACACATAACTGAACATTTCAGACATTTGTAACGAACCCCTGTGCTCCGTCGCAAGATTACTCACAGTATCACGCGTCTCGCAGCCACAGTTTCCTCAGTTTCTGACGACATGTCAAATAACGAGGCTGTTGTAGAAACTACCGACTGTAGTTAGATACCCATACAATTAACAAATAAATTCACGCCTGGATTCTTCACAAATTCGAACTTTTCTCTCTGCTATTTTAACTTCCAAAAATAACTCACTCGTGGAGGTCAAGGTCGGATTCACGGTGTTCACTGTATTTATCAATGCGTGAAATTTGTTCCGGGGAAAAATCGGAACAATTTAAAATCTAACTTTCAGCTCAGATTTCTATTGATAAACTTAAATAACCCTATATACATATCACGCAATTGTATTGATTCTGAATTGTGGAATAAAATTGAAGTGTTTGCCAATCAGCACGCGACAATAAGCTGTTCAAACTATTGAACGAAATTGTGTGCCCTGTCGATAAGGCGGGCATTTTTAATTTTAAATATAAATTATAAGTTGGAAAAGAACATAAGAGGCAAACAACGCTGACAGGAGCATCAGCAGAAGTAAAGTGCCAGTGCGGAAAGGTGTGTAAGAACATCCGGGGATTGAGGATTCATCAAGCAAGGGTGAAGTGCAGACTTGTCGAGTTACAGACGCAGCGCTCAGAAGTAATTTCTGGTGAGACGCAGGAGGACCCCAGCCAGGAGGCACCCCATAGTGTTGGGGACCTCTCTGCTTCGGTTTCGTCACAGGTCAGCCATTCAGACTTGAGTGATACAAACCACGACCAGGGTGTTCAAGCACATCCAACACAGCCAGCACGAAGGTTGAGGATAGAGTGGCCAAAGATGAACAACAATGAAGCTTGGAGAAGTTTAGATGCTGACTTACATACCATCCTAGAGTCGGCTCTAATGGGAAGCGTAGAAAGGAAGGTTGAGGCAATGGGAACTATCATCTACACATTCTGCAAGGAACGATTTGGAGTAGGAGGAAAGCAGAGAAATCCTAAGAACGTAATTATCCCGAATAGAAGACAGGATAACATCCAACGACTCAGGCGAGAACTGAAAGCAGTCACACGACAGTACAGGAGGGCAAGTGATATAGAGAGGATAGGATTACATCAGCTGCGGGACGACATCAGGGAGAACTTGGCAAGACTCAGGAAAGCAGAGCAGGTTAAGAAGGCAAGGAAGGATAGAGCAAGGAAGAGGGAGTCCTTTATCAAGGACCCTTATTCTTTTACAAAGACTCTGCTGGGAGGGGAAAGATCAGGCCGTTTGAATAGTTCAACAGCAGATATTGAGCAACACCTGAGGGAAACGCACGGAGATGAAGATAGGGGCATTCCACTTGGGAACTGTCCACGGATAGAAGCAGAGGAGCCGCCAGAGTTTCCGCTTGACACCAAGGAACCAACTTGGAAGGAGATCCAAGATGTTGTTAAGAAGGCAAGAACTGGTTCAGCTCCAGGCCCAAGTGGAATTCCTTATAAAGTGTATAAGAAGTGCCCACGGCTTTTGAGGAGACTATGGCAGTTACTGAGGAAAGTGTGGAAGAAGGGGAAGATACCACCATGTTGGCAGAAGGCAGAGGGATGTTTTGTTCCAAAGGAGAAGGACTCAAAACACATCGGGCAGTTCAGGACAATTTCCTTGCTGAGTGTTGAAGGCAAGATTTTCTTTGCAGTATTGGCAAGACGGATGACATCATACATGACGACCAATGGATACATTGACACATCAGTACAGAAAGGAGGTATCCCAGGCTTTTCAGGTTGTGTGGAGCATACCAGTGTGCTCAGCCAACTAATCAGAGAGGCCAAGTCCAGCCGAGGGAATCTGACAGTAGTGTGGCTAGACATGGCAAACGCATATGGATCAATACCACATGAGCTGATTGAAGTAGCCCTACAACATTACTTTATCCCGGAGCATATACAGGGAATAGTACGAAGCTACTTCAATGGAATCCAGGTGCGCTTTACTGTCGGGGAGGATACAACATCCTGGCAAAACATGGAGAAAGGAATAGTGACAGGATGTACCATATCAGTCATTCTATTTGGCATGGGGATGAATCTTATCTTCAAGACAGCAGGACGGAAACAGGAATCTACCAACCATCGAATCGAGGTTTTATGGATGACCTGACTGTGACTTCCACCACACACGTCCAAGCAAGATTGGTTCTGTCTGCATTGGAGGAGGTGGTCTCATGGGCGAGGATGAAATTCAAGGCAAGAAAATCAAGGTGCATGATAATGAGGAAGGGACGACTGACACAACAGTTCAAGCTGAAAGTACAAGGAGAAGAGATCCCATCAATTGTGGACAACCCAATCAAGTGCCTATGAAAGTGGTTTGATGTATCACTGAAAGATACCAGCAACATCAGCAGCATGCAGAAGCAGGCAATTGAGTGGATGAGGAAGATTGACAAGTCAGGCCTAATAGGAAAGTTCAAGGCATGGATATTCCAACATGGACTGCTGCCGAGACTCATGTGGCCCCTAATGCTATATGAGGTTCCTTTGACAACAGTGGAAGGACTGGAAAGATCCATCAGCAGCTACCTGCGGAGGTGGCTTGGAGTCCCGCCCAGTTTCTCCAGCATTGGGCTCTACAGCCGGACATCATCACTGCAACTCCCACTGTCATCGTTGGTGGAGGAGTTCAAGGTAACAATGGCCAGACTAGTGATGACGCTGCGACATTCAAAGGACGAGAAGATAAGAAACGCAGGAATCCAGACTAGGACAGGAAGGAAATGGTCTACAAGCCAGTCTGTGGAGCAGGCCGAGGGCGCTCTCAAGCACCTGGACATCGTCGGAGCAACCTGCTCAGGCCGGCAAGGGTTTGGGACAATGATATGATTTCTTCATTATTGCGTTCACGAACGGTTCAGTGAGTTGGTGAGATATAAGGTCGTTAGAGCTACCTCCCATCTGTATGCAGTGTGTGTAGCGGCGAGGTCAAATCGATAAATTCGAACAATATTAACATGTCATGTTAATGTTATTTAAAGTAGACGAAAATTTTAAGTTAAAGAACGGGCCAAATCTCATCAAAATCAAATTTTTGTATCGCTCCCGTTTATAGATATATTCCACGCGACATTTCAATAAACGGGTGTTACGCGAAGATCTGATTTTTGATTAGACTGAAAAAGAGTCGTTTCCTTACAAGTTGTCATGTGTAATAAGTTGATATTCTTTTATATAGCTCAACATCTAATATGAATTTTGATATAAATTGGCCGTTTTCAGAGAATGATTCAGGGGCGAATTAAGGATTTTCTTAATTCGGAATGGGGTAGGGGCGCTGCTGGAAATTTTTAGTATAAGAAACACCAGCAGCGCCATTTCTTCGATGGGTCCAGGGACATGCTCCCCGGCAAAATTTGAAAACTAGGATCGCTCTCATAGAAACCAGGAGTATACTTACACATGCTATTATTATTATTTTTCAAAGTTAGCATTCAAACAACTTGCAAAACAAACAAAATACAGAAAGGTAAACTCAAATTCCAGTTTGATAAAAGATTAAGAGATCTTATGCCGAACATAGATTAGCAAGACTTTTGGAACCCGCAGCATATAACTATTTGCAAACAAAATAAACATGTCCAAATACTTTTTAATTCATACGGGGCTACAGTCAACAACACATCTCAACACACAAACCAAATATATTATAAGAATTAATAATCCAGTAAATAAATAAATAGATAAAATAAAAGGATAAATCGAAACTGCGTAGTTTATTTTAGTTGGTTTAGCCTAAAACAATTTCTTTCTGAGGCTGTGAAAATAGGACGTTACAAGGCCTATTTCGGACCAGCAGGACAGTCGACTGTTTTATTTTATTTGCATTAATCGTGTTTTGATAATTTTATTTGCGATAAAATGTTATCCTAAAAATCCAAGGGTAAAACTCGCAACTTCACAATGAAATATCTTTACTTCAGTCCAAAGAACATGCAGAGAGCGCAACCTGAGTAATTTTGACAATGAATTTTCTAGTTCCTATCGGGGCGGAACCAGGAATTTAGTTAGGGTGTTGCCCAAACAAGAAGAAAAATGAAACTTCACATAATTTTTCGCGCATGAAGGTTTTATCCTATTTTCTGTCATATTAAATAGTCCGTAAATAATACGTTATTATCTTACCAAATTCGATAATTCGATTTTTTTTTTTTTTTTAGTAAAGCCACTTCTTGTTAACTTTGTTAAAGAACAGGACATGTACAATTTATTTACAAAGGGGAAGCATTTAAATTAAGAAATATTTAGTTTAGTCCATTCCATACCAGCTTGGCTTCAAACAATGACGAGTTATCTCCCTTTGAATATCGGTCATTCGTCTGGTCCGGTAAGTTTTCGGTNTTGATAATTTTAGTTTTGTTTACACTTTTATGACATCGTTGATAATTGCATTTTGAATAGTTTTTTAAATAAAGTATGCAAAAGATACGAGGAAGGAACATATTTAAAATATAATTAATTCAATAAAGCTAAAAACTGTTTTCCCGAAAGAAAGAACTCCTATTTATCACCGCAGTCAGCACTGTCGATGTATAACACTGAACAGCTTAGCTCCTGTCAGCGATTTAATAAAGAGGTTATCGAAACTAAGATAAATAATGATTTGGAAAAAAATCAAAATTGGGCTAAAATTTGGCTGGTTGAATTCAACCCTGCAAAAAAAAAAGGCTTTACTGATCTCTAACTTTGAACTTGAGTATGTTATCGATTTAAAATTTAATAACGTTAGTGTTGATTTTGTTGACAATCATAGGCACCTTGGAGTAATTTTGGATGAAAATTGTAAGTGGAGTACCCATATTGAAAATATTTGCATAAAGGTATCGAAACAGTTTTAAAAGTGTTTTACGTAATTTGAAATTTATTTTGAGTAGAAGAACTTTAAGTAAAATGTATAGATCGTCCATCCTTCCTCTATTAGAATACTGTTGTGAGGTATGGGATGGGTGCACTCTAGGGGACGCAGACAAATTAGAAAAACTTCATCTTGAAGCTGTAAGGATTATCACCGGGTTACCATCTTACTCAAGTAGAGAATCATTGTATTTTGAAACTGGTCTAGAAACGTTATCTGAACGTAGAACTCGGCGGAAATTACAAACGTTTTACAAAATCCATAAGAATCTTACACCTTACTATCTTACCTCTTTACTTCACCCTACAGTTTCAGAAACCTCCGTATTGCTGAAAATTACTGTATACCTAATTCACGACTTCAACTAACAAATTTGTCTTTTTTCCCCTCCACAATCCGACTCTGGAACCAGTTAGACCTAAATATAAGACACAGCGTTTCATATACAGCTTTTAAAGATACTCTTCGCAGGCTAAATACATTAGAAGTCCCTATATATTATCTCCTTGGTGATCGAAAAAGTAATATTTTACATGCCAGATTGAGAAATAACTCTAGTACCTTAAACAATCACTTATTTCATGCTAATTTAATAGATTTTCAGCACTGTCAATGTGGACATCCTATCGAAGATACATATCACTTCTTTTATACTTGTAATAATTATGCGGATCAGAGAATTAAACTCTACGGCGAATCAAATGATTTCATTCCACTAATAGTGACTTGTCATATCAAGAAAACATCCTTATAGCCAAACAGACGCACCAATTTATTCTAGATACTAACATATTTTGAGTATATTTTCTTGCACTCCTTCATGTTTACCAACTTATCCGAATCTAGTTTTCTACCCCCCCCCCCCTCCCCCTCTCTGTGTGTGTCTCTTTTCATCACCTCTCTGTCTCTCTGTCTCTCTCTGTCTCTCTCAATTAAAGCCAATGTAAATATATATGTTATATGCCATCTTGATAATTTGTAGTAATATATTGTTGGGAAAGGGCTTAATATAAGTTGTAAAACTTTTGCCCAACTCCTATTGTATATAAATTACAATAAAATATGTTTAAAACAATAAAGAGGTTTAGCACCATTTAACCCCTTCCCGGTACCCATCGGACCTTTCTATAATTGTATGTCCGAATAGTTCCGGATGTATGCCACAGTCACCCGTAAATCGCGTCCTGTGCCTTTGTTATTTACGCTTATTCGTGTGGATCGAACTGATTCTCAGATATGTGTGTATACCAAATATTTAAAAATGTGATTTAAAAAAGTATCAGCAGCTTAACACAATGTAATCAAATCGTTAATCAAAGGTTTATTTCTTAATAGTCCCGAAAATGTCTATAGAATGATGCGTGATAATAATTTTCTCTTTAATCAGTCTTATTTCTATTGTTAAATTATTTCAATATCTGTCGCAGTATCGGCGATAAAAAATGTGCAATATTTTTTGTAAGTTAACAAAGACCACGCAGTACCCGAACCCGATACACGTATTCGTTGTTATGACTTGGACACCGTACATGTTATCAGCATTGGTTAAACTTGAGCATGAAGCCTACACACCGACACTCGCAAACCAAACTGTGAACTGTTAACTGTACACACACAAAAAGGATTTTATTTAACAATTGGTGTACAGTCAAGATAAATATGATTGCAAAAAAAAGAGTGCAGAAATATTGAACACAGTCGAAGGATACTACAGGACACATGCACTGGGAGTTTAACCTGATTGGAATACACGCCTACATAGTAGAGGACGTGATGTGTAGACAGGAAGTGACGACTGTGGTGTACAGTTATAAGGAAATGAAAGAACAATACGCCGTTCTTTCGTCTTAATTTAAGCAACAGTATACAATATTTATTTTTTAATTAATGGCTATCTCCGGTCGAAGAATTGTGACATTTGGACTGATCATGACAGCTGTGTATATTTTGATTTACGTCTGTGGTGTGTCAAAGCGTGTTAAAGACCCATCCGACCCAAGATGCATTGCGAAAGGAAGTGCAACATTTGAGGAATTAGATTCAATGCAAAATTTCTCACTTGATTATCCATCAAAATACATTTACTCGAAAGAAAATACAAAATGGCTTGAAATCTTGGGGAAAAGTTTGTACCAGCCTGGAAAAGAAAGTTTGAATGTGTTTAACGAAACCTACCCTTTAAACGTGAACATGCGAGAACTGTTGAATACGTACAAGAGTGGAGGGTACGTAAGTCCCCTCAAGGTAAACGAGTATCCGTTCCGTTTCATACGGAACCCCACCAAAGTGTGTGAAAACGGACAAAAAGTCTTTCTTTTATTTATCATCAAATCCGCCCTACGCCATTTTGACAGACGACAAGCAATTCGCCAGACTTGGGCCAACCAGGAGCTTTGTAAGAGATTTGGAATTCGGCGGCTGTTTCTGACAGGTATAATGCGTGGACAGACTCGGTTTCACGAGTTTCTACGGGATGAGATAATTTACTATGGTGATACTCTTCAAATAGATTTCTTTGATATGTATTATAATAACACATGGAAAACACGTGGGGGAATTAAATGGGCGGTCAACGAGTGCAAACAAGCGGAGTATGTCATGTTGGTAGATGATGATTTCTATGTTGCTTCAGATCTCCTTGTCCAACTGTTACACACGGCCGGCAGATCACGGGATTTCTACATGGGATGGCTGAACGGGAATCCGACCCCAGTCCGCAACATGCGAGATAAATGGTTTGTCTCCAAACGGGATTTTCCATACCCAGTGTATCCCGATTTTATCAGCGCTGGAGCAATTGTAATGTCGATGGATTTCGTTGTGGACCTCTATATTGCTAGTCAGTACACGAATCACTTTAAGTTTGACGATGTTTTCGTTGGAATAGTGGCTTCCAAGCTCAAGGTCACACCTGTCTCGTGCAATCTCTTTACTATGTTCAAAATCTGGTTCACAGCCGACCGGTTCTGGAAAACGCTTGTATCACATGAATACAAACCGAAAGAACTGTTGCAAGCATGGAAATGTCACGTGCTTATTAGCAAACATGGATTGGACAGTAGCATCGATACGTCCTAGTTTAGTGTTCAAATATTACATTGCTGTCAATTCTTGTTTTCAGCGGGAACTTTAAGATACGGAATCCGACAATCCAGTTAACTTGCGTTCCGGATCCGACATGTCATATAAATTGATTCTAAAGGACAAACATTTCATCAATTATACAATAAAGACACCTGGTTACGTTATACATAGGTAAAAAGGTTATCTATGTGTTCGTTAACATGCAATGTAGAGATTGTATACAGTAGATATAAATGGCTGAAATGTAATCCTGTGCACCTCAGGAAATAATGTCACATGGGTAACGAATACGTAACGAAATCTAAAACCCTGTATCAATTCGAGACCTACGTTGGGCAGTCGCCATGTACTAGCCGTAGGTCGGTGGTTTTCGCCGGGGACTCCGGCTTTCCTCCACCACCAAAATTTGGCACGTCCTTAAATGATCATAGCTGTTAATAGGACGTAAAACGCAAACAAACCAAACAACCCTGTATCAGTTTAAAGAGAACTTACTTGAGAGTTAAACGAACGTTTCTTAACTTGAAAAATCCCTAACAAAATTGGAGTTAAAGAAAAATCTTTAGATAATTATAGTGTCGTTAGTCCAGCCCCACACCTGGGGATGGCACACTGGGTCATAGCATGGAAACAGTTGAGATTCCCACCATATAACCCATATACAATTGCTACCAGGATTGGCCTGGATGTCCAGCCCCAACCATGGAGGCTTGCCCCATCGGTCTGATATGAAACATTTTAGATCCCACCCTATAACCATATATACATATTGCTATGCATGTAGAGTTGACTACACTCATGCTTCCATGATTGGCTCGGTGATCCAGACCTGACCCTGGGGACTTTTGAGTTTTGATTCCCACCTCATAACCATATAAGTCAAGATCTGACCAAAGTGCCCTTACGACGTCGCAAATGAAAATGGAGAAAAAAGGAAATTCCGCTATTGCGCCATTCTGAATAACTTCATAAAATTTGTCTTAAAAACTTCTAAACTTTCATACACCACTGTGAAGTAAAATAGTAACACAAAGCAATAACTTTTGCACTGATGTATTCCGTATTTCTTTCTCTTTAAAGGGACAAATTAGTGAAGTAAGTTTTTTTTATACCTTTGTCACAAAACCTTTCATGATTATATAGTTTGATATTCCTTATGAACAATTCATGTCGAGAAATGGGCAAGAGACAATGTTTTCTTGGCGTTTGTAATCAGGAATTGAGAAATCCTTAACTGTATAGCCGTACGTTATAGCGGTAGCTGTCGGTAAAATTCTGGCTAACTAAAAAGTCTTTCCAGCCGAAGTGAGAAGTCGACTTTTCGCTTTATTCACCTAGCCTCTCTGGAATACAAGTACACGCATTTATTTTGAATTAAACTCATCTTCCAGCAGCATCTCAAACAACGTTATAAACAAGTGATCTATTTAACGTTTAAACCTATTGATATCGTACTTTCTGCGGTTTGAAATTATTCCTGCTGCACCCTCTCATTACGTCTAGTTGAACCTGTTCGTTTTTATTCAAATCCAAATGTGAACAGAACTATCTTATTAGAGGTATATATTATGATACTTTTAATTCTTATTTGCAATGTATTGTGTTATTCAAGAATGTGCTAAGTGTGAGCTCAGTCTGTGTACATGTTAACTTCTCACTATTGTGCTATTTCGGTCGTAGCTATTTTTATCACCGGCTTTCCCAAAAGATGAAACTGACCACACTGGACGTTGGCTTCAGGTCATGTCAGTATCAACAACCTAAACTTGCATTGTGGGTATTTGTGTTAACTTGTTGTAATAATTGTAATGTGCTATGGCTTCTTGTTGCACACAGAAGTGTGGCCGAGTGCCTTAATAAAAAGTGAAATCTGAAATTTCGAATATGACACTATGTCAGATTACCCCGGACAGTGACGTATGCGTCTCTGCTAAGGGATCAGTTTAGACAGGTGTCACTGTTTATCTTATATGTAATCAAATCTTGTGTAATTAACTTACTTAAAATATTCAAGTACTAAAAAAATCTTTTCAATAAAAAAGAGATTTGTTTTAAGTGTGTGTTCTTGTTTACTAGTGAAGTATTTTTTGGATCATCGACTTTATTTGCTAAGATATTCTGCTGGCGAACTATTGTATTCACCATGCGAGTTTTGTTCGTTAAGAAACGATTACACTGTAGTTATAAATGTGTATGAGAGAGTGATATAACATGGAGTTCCAACTAATGTATTTACTTTTTTGTGACTTGTTATTCACAAGGAGATCGAGTGTATCCTTCAACAGTCTAGCCTAGCTCTGCCTGAAATAGGACACCATTTTTCCAGACTGTAATATTTTTAAAGTTTGTAATTGGACGTAAATAAATCGTGAAATCGACTTTGCGCCTTCTAACATTTGGCCCCTGAAAATCCCCCGTCGAAAGTTACTTCTCCTTCCACCTTAAACACTTGCCCTGGACAATATGTCTTCGACCGGGCCATGATTTCTTCATTAATGCGTTCAGGAACGGTTCGGTGAGTTGGTGAGATATAAGGTCGTTAGAGTTACCTCCCATCTGTATGCAATGTGTGTAGCGGCGAGGTAAGAACGATAAGATAAGATGAATTATCTAAAGTCGGTGAGCATTTTAAACAAATAACATAAGCTCTATAAAGCTTTTGACCGACATACATGTTACATACAAAGACATTCACACTTGGACAAGTTTGATATATTAACATTTAGGCAATACAAATATTAAATGAGATAAAACACTTCAGATTTCGAGCTATTATCAGATAAACACCTTTTCTACACATTGTATAGTTAGAACAATACATGTAGCATATTTTAAAAACACATCAGATTTCATGTGATAAAGTCAATAAATTAGCACTGATCTGATAAAATACATTTAAAATTGAGATAGGATAGGTGTGTAGAAATGAGGGTGATGGAGTTGAGGCTTCATTTACAGGCTGAACATTTGCATTGGGTACCGTTCCAGGAGGATATTAAAGATTTGAGGGGAGTGAAGTTAGTTGTTGTCCTAAATGTGTTGGGTAGATTATTCCAAAGGCAGGCTGCTGTGTATCTGTGTATCTGAATGATTTCGTGCCGTATGTAGTGGTTCTAACTTGTGGGGTGTATAATTTGTTGGTGTATCTGAAACTGTAGTTGCAGTCATGGGGGTACGGTTTTGTGTATAATTTTGTATGTTTCTATTGCCATTTGTCTCATTCTTCTAATTTTTAAAGTAGGTATGTGTGCCCGGGTCAAGAGGTCATCGTAAGAACTGGAAAAGACATCATAGATAAATCTGAGTGCCCTAAACTGATTTTTTTTCTCTATTTTTGTAATATTTGTTTCAGAGCAGAAGTGCCAAGAGAGTGGGCAGAAGTTTAAGTGTGAAAGAATAAAGGTATGGAATATTTAAATTCGATATTTAAATTCGAACAATATTTACATGTCATGTTAATGTCCTTATTCTTATTATTTAAAGTAGACGGAACATGTACAATTTATTTACAAAGAGAAAGTATAAATTTACATTCAGAAATATTTAGTTTATACATCGTCCATTCCATACCAGCTCGGCTTCAAACAATGACGAATTATCTCCCTTTGCATATCGGTCATTCGTCTGGCATTCGGTAAGCTTTCGGCGGAGTGCGCATGTAGCACAGACGGGCCCGGCGAAGCGTCCATCAAAACAGTTTCCATCCCGAAGTCAGAAGGACCCAGCCCACTTGTTTAGAAAAATTGTCACGGGTGCATACCAAGGTAAGTCGACCCTCCGAATCGTCTTCGGTTAAACAGCACGTCAGAATGTTGGTAGTTTACGTATTATTTCAAGTCGGCACCGGTTGTACGCGATTTGAAAGCTACCGGCATTATTCGGAAGTATTTCTAATTCCGGTTTCCTATTTCATTTCACTGTTGATTGTCCATTTTTGGCATAACCTGATTGGGTTAGCGCGCGGATCGGATCATAGGTGTCGGCTGAGGTCAGATCATTCGACACAACATCTGTCTATACATTAGACGTTGAAACTTGATCCCATGTCACAGATCCGCTAATTGGTTTTGAAATGGATTATTTTTTAGAGGCGTTCGATATTATTTCTATGTCAGTTTGCTCTTTATTTCTGGGACGTGTAAATTTAATTTAATTAATTGGATGACGTAATGCAAAATGTGAATGTGTTGTAATCAACATTGTATGTTTTAATTGTACATTGTTTGTTTACAAAATGCCATACACATAGTTACTTATTCTGTATCAATATTAACAACAGTGTTACATGTTATGTTTTTTCAATTAGCAAATTAATTATCATTTATCTATTTTATAAAAAAATATTTATTGATTTTGACATCACTACATTTGTTTTTAGGTTTATGCCTTGGTATCTGCTAATAAGCATGTTACATACAAATATCACTGTATGCTTGAATAAAGTTGACAGGCCTTCATATAATTGCTAACAGTATTGTATGTATCTGTTCTAAAGTATTTCTTGCTGTCTTACTTCTACAGCACAATTAAACACAACAGTTATAGCTGGTGTTACCTACAGATGCTATGACATTTATGGTATATTTTGTGTTTTAATTCGTCAAAAATTTATGAAAGAGTACAGTACTCTTAGGATAAAACACCGCTTAGTAATTAATCACAAAAAGTTAAAGATGAATAATCGTCTGCTACCTAGACTTTACACCAGTACGACTTGTGTCAATGACATGTTGTACATTAAATATGTACATGTGTACTAGTAAACAGTGTCTAGACTATAGATATGACCTTAATGTGTATGTAAGAACAAGGCATATGACAACTTGGGAAATCCAGGATTAAGTGTCTAGTTAAGATATTAAGACATTGCTCATTGTGGTACATGGGGGTAACTCCCTAAATTTTCAAGAGGGGGGTTTTGGGTCATAAGATCATTTACACTCCTTTCTACCCCCCTACCCCCCTCTCCCCCACCCTGCATTCATCCTTGATTGTAACATTTCCTACAGACTGAGAGAGTCACATTTTCAACAAATAATCCAACTTTGGAGGAAAAATGAAAATAAAAAGAGAAAGTTTTAAGATATGTGAATGTTAAGTGTGGCAACACTTTTTCCTTGAGTGGTCCCACTATCGTTAGGCACCCTGCAACCTTGACATTAGCCGTGTTGAGTGACCCCATCATCAGTTAAGACCATCTTTGTATGACCTTGACTGTAGACATGCCCTACCATCAGTGGACAGATTTTTGCCCAGATCTAGCTTTTTCAAAGACAAATAACCTGTGACAAACAAAAACTAGCAAACTATCGTAAATTTGTGTCAATATCAAAATT